AGCGCTGACGAATTGATGGTTTTGAACTGTGGTGTTGGAGAAGACTCTTGAGAGTCCCTAGGACTGCAAGGAGATCCAACCAGTCCATCCTAAAGGAAATCAGTCCTAAATATTCATTGGAAGGACTTATGCTGAAGCTGAAGGTCCAATAGTTTGGCCACCTGATGCGAAAAACTGACTCATTTGAAAAGACCCTGATGCTGGGAAAGATTGAGGGCAGGAGGAGAAGGGGACGACAGAGGACAAGATGGTTGGATGGCATCACTGACTTGATGGACATGAGTTTGAGCAAGCTCCGGGAGCTGGTGATGGACAGGGAAGCCTGGCAAGCTGCAGTCCATGGACACGACTGAGCGACTGAACTGAACTGAACTGAGTAGACGGACTTTTGTTGGCAAAGTAATGTCTATGTTTTGTGATTATAATTTAAAACTTCCAATGTATAAAACTCTATGTGATAATTAATTTAGGTGTCAACTTAGCTTGGCCACCCTGATATTAAGTCAAAGATTATTCTAGATGTTTCTGTGAATATATTTTTTAGGTGAGATTATCCTTTAAATCAGTAGACATTGAGTAAATTACCCTCCATAAGGTAATTACCCTCAATTAGTTGAAGGCCTTAATAGAAAAATGACCAACATCCTCAAAAAAAGAGAGAATTCTACCAGCAGAGAGTCTGTAGACTTGAACTGCACCTCTTCCCTGGGTCTCCAGTGTGCTGGCCTATCTTGCAGATTTTGGACTTGCCAGCCTCCCTCATCATGTGAGCAAATTCCTTAAAATAAATTCTTTCTCTCCCCTTCTCATATCTCCCTGTTTTCTTTTCTTTCTTTCTTTTTTTTTTTTGGTTTGTTTGTTTTTCTGGAGAACCTTAATACAGTCTAAGAACAAGGGCTTCAGTGGTGAACTCTACCATACATTTAAAAAATTAACACCAATCTTTTCTCACACTCTTCCAAAAACAGAAGAGGAAAAAACACTTCCTAACTCCTTCTATGAGACCAGTATTACCTGACGCCTAAGCCAAATAAAGATATCACGAGAAAATTATGATCCAATATCCTTTATGCACATGATGAAAATACCCTCAACAAAATACTAGCAAACCAAATCCAACAGCATATTTAAAGGATTATACCTCATTGCAAGTGAGATTTACCCCAATAATGCAAGGGTGCTTCAACATAAGAAACTTAATCAATGTAACACCGATAGTACATTAATAGTACACGTAACAGTAATTGTTGTTTAGTCACTAAGTGGTGTCTGACTCTTTGCATCTCCATGGACTTGCATGTAGCCCACCAGGCTCCTCTGTTACAAGAATTTCCCAGGCAAGAATGCTGAAATGGACTGCCATTTCTTCCTCCAGGGGATCTTCCTGGCCCAGGGATCCAAACTGTGTCTCCTGCATTGCCAGGCAGATTCTTTACCCCTGAGCCACCAGAGAAGTTGGAGGAGAAAACCCACATGATCATTAATTGATGCAGAAAAGCCATCTGACCAAATCCAACACACATCACCAACTTGAAGGATATGGGCCTGAGCAAGCTCTGGGAGTTGGTGATGGACAGGGAGGCCTGGCGTGCTGCAGTCCATTGGATTGCAAAGAATCGGACATGACTCAGTGACTGAACTGAACACCCATCCATGATTTAAAAAAAAAAAACCTAAAAACTAGAAATAGAAGGTAATTTCCTCAGTATAATATAGGGAACTTATGAAAAACCCACATCTGGCAGCACACTCATGGTGAAAGACTGAAAACTTTCCCCTAAAATCAGGGAACAAGACAAAGACATTCACTTTACCACTGCTATCGAACACTACTCCAGAGTTCTAACCAGAGTAACAGTGGTGGGGGGGAGGAATAAAAGTCACTCAGATTGGAAAGGAAGAATATTCTATTCACAAATGATGTGATTCTACATAGAGAAAATCCCAAAGGATCCATAGGAAAGCTACTAGATCTAATAAACAGGTTCAATAAAGCTGCAGGGTACGAGATAACACACAAAAATCAATTGAGTTTCCATACATTTGCAAAGAACAAACTGAAAAAGAAACTTGAAAAGGAATCCCATTAAAAAGAGCATCTTAAAGAATAAAATACTCAGGAATAAGTTTATCCAAGGAGATGAAAGCCCTGTATACTGAACACAAAAAACATAGCTAAATCTAAGTAAGATCTACATGGATGCAGAAGCATCCAGTGTTTGGGAGTAAGAAGGCTTAATATTGTTAAGATGTCCTGAATACCTAATGGGATCTACAGATACAACACAATTCCTATCAAAATTCCAACAGCATTTTCTGCAGGAATGGACAAGGTGATGTTCTAATTCACATGGAATTGAAAGACACCCTAAATAACTAAAACCATCTTGAAAAGAAGAACACAGTCAGAGAACCAACACTTCCTGATTTCAAAGCTTACTACAAATTTTTAAGGCCAAAAAACTTGAATAAACATTTCTCCAAAGAAGATAAACAAACAGCCTATAAGCACATAAAAAATGCTCAGCATCAGTAATCATTAGGGAAATACAAATCAAAACCACAATGAGACATAACCACACACCCCTTAGGGTGGCTATTACAAACAACAAACAGAAAGAAACAAGTGCTGGGAGCATGTGGAGGAAGTGGAACCATCCTGCCTCAGGGGTGGGAATATAGCAAGTGGAAAACAATCTGACATCTCCTCAAATAATAAACATAGATTGACCACATGATCCAGCAACTCCACTGTTAGATACATACTCAAAAGAACTGAAAGCCAGGACAGGAACAGATATTTGTATGCTCATGTCCATAGCAGCATTAAACACAATAGCCAAAAAGTAAAAGTAAACCAGACATCCGATGACAGACGAATGGTTATAGAAAATGTGGTCTACAAAGGAACTTCTGTATGGAAACAGAAACAGGCCCACAGACATGGAGAACTGACAGGATTGCCAAGGGGGAGGCGACACTGGGGAAGGATGGCATTTGGGATGAGTAGATGCAAACTATTACATGTAGAACGGAGAAACAGCAAGCTCCTACTGTATAGTGCAGAAAAATACGCTCAATGTCCTGTGATAAGCCAAATGGAAGAAAATAAGGAAAAGTGTGTTTATATGTATAACTGACTCACTTTGCTGTATAGCAGAAACTAACTCAACATTGTAAATCAACTTCAATAAAGTAAATGTTTAAAAAATATACTCATTTTATGAAAAACCCACATCTGGCAGCATACTCATGGTGAAAGACTGAAAACTTTCCATTTTCAAAAAATATCTCTACTTTTTTGTTGCTGTTTGTTTTTGCTTTAGTAACTCTGCTAAGAGCTTAATTCCCCAACCGGGGATCGAACCCTAGCCCGTGGGCAGAGAAAGCTCAAGTCCTAACCACTGGATTGCCAGGGAATTCCCCAAAACACATTCATCTCTAAAAGAAAATGTGGTCTAAACACACAATGAAATGTTATTCAGCTTAAAAGAAAAAGAAGGAAATTCAGATACATGCGACAACATAGACTGACTTTGAAAATGTGCTAATGAAATGACAAATACTGTATAATTTCACTTACATAAAGTATCTAGAACAGGCAAATTCATAGAGACAGAAAGTGGAATAGTGGTTTCCAAGGGTGGTGGGGAGAGAGGATTGAGGAGTTATAAAGTGTGAGTTTGGGATGATAAAAACAAAAAGGCTTGGAAATAAATAATGGTGATAGCTGCCAGACATCGTGAATGTAATGTAAATTCAATTGTGTGCTTAAAAATGGTTGAAATGGCTTGTATTTATGCTGTGTCTATTTGATGACCAGAAAAAACTTTCAAGGAAGGAAAGAAGGGAGCAGGGGAGGAAGGGAGCATGCAGCGTCTGGAGGCGGGGATGCCAGGAAGGAGGTGGGCGAACCCGCAGAGCAGAGGACCGCTGGGGTGGGAGGGACAGGCCGCTGGCGAGGGCGAGCACGGCCTGGCCACCCCGTCTGGGGCCAGACACCGAGCGGGCACCACAGCTCCGGGCAGCGAGCCCGCGTCGCAAAGCAAAGGCCACACGAGCACTAAACTCAGGCGGTGCCAGCTGGCAGCACCACCTTCCCACCCCACCCGACCCCCCATCCTTTCAGGCCTGAGGCAGGGGTCCTGGGTCGGGCTGCCGCCTCCTCACCCGCCCCTTCCCACCCCTGCCCCTAAACTCCCTGCCCTGTAGGAACGGGAGCTTCCTACGGCAGATCAAATCCTGCTGCCTCAGCTCACGGGCTTCTCTGCCAGCCCCCTCACTGGAACCCGCTGCCTCCTCGGCTTTGGCAAAGGTCCCCGACTGGCCAGTGCCAACACATCCCTCTGGCCTTGCCTCACTTCCCTCCCCGGCACCAACCCCGGTTCTCTCCGGCCAGGCTGGGCTTCTTGCAGCTGCCCTGCTCCTGCCAACACCTGAACGGCCTCCAGCCCATTCCCTTGGCAAACTCCTAAGTCACCTTCAACACCCGCAGCAAATGTCCCCAGTGTGGTGGGTCCTCCTCCCACCTGTGCTCCCACCGCCTTCCTGGTAGATAATCGCAAGGGTCCTGGGCTTTCATGCTGTACCTGGGACAGAATCTTGAGCCCTTCTGTTTGAAATGTTAAAGGAAATGGTAACCCCCTGAGGTGGTAGCCTCGGGGCCACGAAAGGGACCGGCATCTGGGTCACAGAGGTGTGGCCAAATTTCGCCCCATCTCCCCACCCTTACCCCACCTCTGGGGGAAGATCCTGAGCAGGAGGAACCAGTTGAGGCTGAGAAACAGAAGGGGAGGAAAAGACAAAGCCGGCGGGGGGGCAGGGGCGGCCGCTGTGAGCTGAGAGCAGGAGCGGCGAGCGGCCCGCGTGCTCCAGCTCCTTGAGCGGCCACGCCTCAGACCTGGACTTTGGTTGCCCCGGGCTGGCGGGCGAGGCGAGCAGACTGTGCCCCGGCTAGCAGGAGGCACCTGGCACTCCCGTGTGGCCGAGCCACAGCCGTCATGCAGGGGAGGACCTGGGGGCTGCGTCTGCTGCTCCTGCTGGGGTCGGGGCTGGGGTCCCAGGAGGCCCTGCCCCCACCCTGTGAAAGGTAGGAGCGGAGAAGGCAGCTGGGGATGCAGCTGGAAGGCTGGGACTGGAGGACCGGGAGGAGAGCTCAAGCATCAGAGTCAGCCCTCCAGGGAGGAGGGAAGGGAAAGAAATCAGGCCGCAGGCTCTGTGCTGGGCACTGACCCCCAGTGCCGGAAAAGACGGGGCAGCCCGTGGGCGGCTAGACGCAGGCCAGGAGCCTGCCGCCCAGGGAGCGCTCCCTCCCTCTTGCCCTCCCTCTAGCAGCTCCTTCAACTGTGCAGGCCTGTTCTCAGGGTTGTTCTGGGAAACTTTCTGCTCAAGTTCCCTGCCTTGGATGTGAGAGTGGGAGTAAGGACCTGCAAGGAGCCCCTGGGTTTGACCTCTGACCTCCATGACCAAACCTCTTTCCAAAGCCACAGTTTCCATCTCCAATAGCAGGGATGAGTGACCCCCTCCTGCCTCTGGGACTCACAGGGCAGCCACTCTCCCTTCATCTTGGGTTTATTGAGCTCTCTTTATGCCTCCTGGGTTGCAGCAGTGAGCAAGAAAAATGAGGTCCATGAAGGTTATTAAGGTTATTATTACATAACAAGCAAGAAAAGAAATGATAGAGGTTCACTGGTGATGGTTGCTGTTTTTTAGTCTCTAAGTCGTGTCTGACTTTTGCGACCCCATGGACTGTAGCCCACCAGACTCTTCTGTCCATGAGATTTTCCAGGCAAGAATACAGAAGTGGATTGTCATGTCCTTCTTCAGCAGATCTTCCCAACCCAGGGATCGAACCCATGTCTCCTGCATTGGCAGGCAGGTTCTTTACCACTGGGCCACCTGGGAAGCCCATATCTTCCAATAGTACTCACCAAATGTTTATATTCATGGTTACAGTTTAGTACACACATGAGGCATGGCCAGCCAGGAAGCCTTGGCATCCATGAATTTTTACTGGGGATCAGTTACAGGGATGTAGTGTATCCTAATGGTGACTTTAGTTATTCATTCTCCAGGTCTCTAAAGGTCAAAATGATAATGGATGGCCCTCAGCCCCCACCTTAAATACATTAATAGGATAAAATATCTGGGATGGTCCAAGGTCCCAGTAAACAAAAATTTATCAGGTAGGGCCCCAGGAGCTTAGAGGGTATCTCTTAGGCACGTATCAGACTGTCTTTGAAATGTACGGGGTGTGAACACAGTCGATCTGTTAACTCAAAACTGTTCACTGCAAAAACAACTTGTATAACAAAGAATTTGTCCAGTCTTTGTCCTGAGTTCCTGGAATACAACTTTTAAGATCTTGGAAATTTCCCAAGTGGCAGGAGTGTCTTTGGTATTCAGGTTAAGCTTGAATAGCTTCTATGAGTGAGGTGACTCATGGTGAGTACCTAGATGGGTCATGCTAATAAGATGACTAAAGTAGGATAGGTCATGTTAGAAGATGAAGTGATTAGAGGGTTGGGGTTTTGGGATACCTGATACCAGCCTGACCTCCTGACCTCTGGGGAAGGAAGGGGGTGGAAGATTGGGTTTAATCATATAGTTGATGATTTAATCAATCATACCTATGCAGTGGGTAACCCACCTACCTATGCAGGAGACATAAGAAACACAGGTTTGATCCCTGGGTTGGGAAGATCCCCTGGGGGAGGGCACAGCAACCCACTCCAGTGTTCTTGCCTGGAGAATCCCACGGACAGAGGAGCCTGGTGGGCTATGGTCCAGAGGATCGCTAAGAGTCGGACACGACTGAGTGACTTAGCACGCATGCAGGCACACACCTATGCAATGAAACCCCAAGAAAAACCAAACTCTGGACACCAAAGTTCAGTGCAGCCTCATTTTGGCTGACACTTCAATGTGCCAGGAGGTTGAAGTGTCCTGATTCTATGGGGAGAGGACACAGAAGCTCTTTGTTCAGGACTCTCCCAGACCTTGTCCTATATGTGTCTTCATTTGGCCAGTCCTGACTTGTACCTTTAGGATAACTATATTACTGTCACAATACAGTGCTTTACTGAGTTCTGTGAACCATTCTTATAGATCACTATTAATTCTAGCAAATTCTCACGGGAACCCCTGACCTTGTAGCCAGTGGTCAGAAGTGGTGGAAAGTTCAGGACCCCTGAACTTATAACTGGTGCAAGGAGTGAGGGCAATCTTGTTGGGAACTATAGCTTTGACCTGGAGGTGGCATCCAAGCTAACTCTTAGTGACAGAATTTTATTGCAATATTTTAATTGTGGTCAGAACATGTGTAATTTGCTAGGATGATCTTGTCTCACTAAAACACGTGGTTTGGAAATTGCAAGATGAAAGGGCAGGGAACGAGCATCTTTTGATTCCTGAACGGCCACAAGGTCACCCATGTGTTCAGAATAGCAGTTGTGTTGTGATCAGTTACTTACTGGAGGTAAAAGTTACCAATGAAAGTTAGAGCTGATGGATCCAACTCTTGGGATATTAGCTAACCAAATGCATAAGAAAATGCAAAATAAGAAGAAAAAAAAAAAAGAATTTCTTGGTTATTGTCATCTAGAATAGCAAAAGTGAAAGTGAGAGATAAGCCAAACTTAAATTCTGGTCAGTCCTAACTACAGTCTTTGGTCTCAGGGCCTCTGCTAACGGAATGTGTTGGGGATGGGCCTACTTCTGGCTGCCCTGATGTGCAGCCACTAGCCCCAGAGCCATTTACAAAGGAAAAAATTATTCTGAAACAACAAATAATGAAGAAAGTTTGATTTCCAAGAGAATGTGATAGACAGAGGACAGAGCCAATGGTCTCGTCCCAGCAGGATAGGCATCTTTAAACAGTTATTAAGAATGGGATGAGGACTTCCCTGGTGGTCCAGTGGTTAAGAATCCACCCACCAATGCAAGAAACACAGGTTTGATCTCTGGTCTGGGAAGATCCCACATGCTACAGAACTAAGCCTGTGAGCCTTAATTACTGAGCCCGAGAGCCCTAGAACCCATGCTCTGAAACCAGTACCAAAGACCCAGCAGAGCCAAAAATAAGTAAATAAAATTTTTTTTTTAAATGGGGTGAATAAGAAATTCCTTGGCAGTACAGCAACTAGGATCTGCACTTTCAGTGTCAAGGGCATGGGTTTGAGCCCTGGTGGGAGAACTAAGATCCTGCAAGCCCTGCTGCATGACTGAAAAAAAAAAAGAATGGAGTAAATAAAGCAAATATTGATGGGAGCAAAACAAAAGAGGAAGAAGAGAGGGAGTCAAAGGACTGATTTCTTTTCAAGAAATGGGATGAATAAAGCAGCCACGCGTGTGTGCACGCTAAGTGGCTTCAGTCATGTCCGACTCTTTGCGACCCCATGGACTGTGGATAGGCTCGAAAGAAAGGTTTTCATGCAGCATCCTTAGAAGTTGACTGAACCAATGGGAACCCCTGCAGGTCATCCAAAATGAAAAGGCCCTAGACAAATTTTATTCACCCTACCTGGGAGCTACTTGGAAAACTGCAAGATATAGGCAGCAACAAGAAGCCTGACCTCCAATCTTGTGGGGCAATGGTGCCGAAATAAAATCAAGATCAAGGCTGATGGCTGGGTCAGAGTCCCTTAGCTCTATCCCACACTGGGGACCCAGACCTGACACATAGGAGTGGGCAAAGTGGTCAGAGGGTAGAGGAGGCTCCTGGACTCTCTGACGTGGGAACCCCGTGCACTGAGGCACCAAAAACAACTGGTGAAGACCTAAAAGAGGCCTACAGTCAGATTAAGAGAATATAGAAATGCAAGAGTTGATGGGATGAAGGTGAAAGGTAGTATGAAAAAAGAAATGGAATGTTTAAACAGGCTTTATGTCAAAGGATTGTTTCTCCTTCACCTGATTGTTTTATGGAAATGAATGTCATGATTGACGAGGAACACTTACCCTCCCTAGTACTCAAAACCCAAACCTGCTGAAGTTCTAAGAGGTGCACAGTGAGGGATGCAAGCATTGGTGCAACCAAGATGAAAGTTTGAATGAAAATTGGTGTTTGAACAGTTCTATTGGGAAGTGACTGCATCTATTTCACCTGAATGTATTACAGGAATGGATATTGTGCCTGACTGGGGAATGTTTCCACTGTCTAGTATTATAAACCAGAAGACATGTAAAGCCACATCTCAAGCAATATTAATTGAATGTTCCAAATGAGAGCCAATAAGATTGCCTGAGTCTACATAGATTGTAGCCTTCTTCTGAGGATCACAGACTGGGACTTACAGGAAAAGCCTTTGGGCACCTCCCAGCTGAGACTTTGGACTAAAGAATTTCAACTGGAGAGGCAGTTACTAGTTTTCTGTCAGATATTAATTAAACTTTTCCCTGTGACTGAAGGTCAAAAGATAATCTTGAAACCTGAAATGCCCATATTATCTTGGGTGGTATTGGAAAATGCTATAAGAAGGAGGGACATGCCCAGAGGAGTTCCATAAGAAAATGAAAATGGTTTATGCAGGACCATGCTGCTGGGGGAACGGAGAGTTACTCAGTGTATTTAAGAGCAGATAGGCTCTTTTCCCTTAGGAATGATGTTGAAACCACCTAAGGAACTACCAGATTTAATTGTCACCTAGGCAGGTGCCCCATGAACAGCTCTTGATTGACCAACAATGAACTGCATGGTTTATGGATGGCAGTTCCAAGGTGAACATACAACATACTGTTTGAAAGACTGCCACTCTTATCAAAGAAGACAAAACCAAATCAGCTTGGTGGGCTGAGTTACATACCATTTGTCACTCACTGTGTTTGGGTTTTTGCTTACTCTCGGTCAACGGCCAATGGCCTGGCCATATAGTCAGACAGAAGAACGGCAATGGAAAACTGGCATATAAAAATGATGCCCTTCTGTGGCGTGGTCCTAAAAACACTATGGGAATATGAATATTGCATTAAAATAGAACACACTGATGTCTACGGGTCAATATAAAGCCAAACATAGGGGCTCTCATCATTCAATTCTTTCATCACTGCAAGGGAAATGAAAGTGTTAGTCACTCTTTATGATCCTATGGACTGTAGCCCACTGGGCTCCTCTGTCCATGGGATTTCCCAGGCAAGAATACTGGAGTGGGTTGCCAAGTCCTACTCCATGGGGTCTTCCTGACCCAGGGATCAAACCTAGGTCTCCTGCATTGCAGGTGGACTCTTTACTGTCTGAGCCAGCAGGGAAGCCCCACTGCAAGGGAAACAGCTTGCAATTTAGCCCATAGGGCTGGCTTGTTTTTATGTTTTCCAAAGATCTCCATGAGGCAGTTAGGGTGCAGGGGCTTTCCAACCAAGATACTGTCTGTCCACTTGGAACTGCCATCAGTAAATGACCGAGTTTTTGCTTGGTCAATAAAAAGTTATTCACAGGGTGCCTCCTGGTGGCTTCTCTGTTGCTTCCCCAGTCAGCCCTGCAGGAAGTGAGGCCACCTGCCCTTGAACACAAAAAGTACCTCCTTGTATTCCCCAAGCAGCCTGCTCCTGCAGAAACCATTTCCATCGTTAGGAAACTCTCGGGGCACTGCCTTCTTTATCAGAGGGTTTCTCTGACATCACCCAAAGCATTATGGGTATTTCATGGTTTCAAGAATATTTTGTGCTCTTCAGTCATAAAGGAGGTTTCCATCAATATCTGATAGCAAGCTAGTGATCATCTCCCATATGGTGTGTATTGTACACTGCATCTGGAAATTTCCTGGTTCAAACTTTTCGTTATTGCCACTGAGTATAACTCACAGAGTTTTACCACAAGCCCTTCCAATTGGGTCCACATGGAGCCGCTGAACAGAGAACTGGTCCATCCCACAATCGCTGATTAAAGCGCTATTGAACAGTGCTCCGGGCTCGTGTGCCCAAGTGTGCTGCTTCCTCACCAGCCCCCCACCCAGAGAGAACAGATCCGAGCCCCTTCCGTTCCTCCCCTCCGAATCCCTGGTTGGCTGACCTCTCTCCCACTAAAACTACCTCACATGCGTAGAGCTGGGAGAGGATGAACAGGCAACTCCTGATGTGGACACGCTCTGAGCTACAGCGCCCTCCCTCCTCTTGTCTAGCTGGTTTTCTATGCTGTTTCAAATTAACCAGAGAGCTGGGCTCAGGCAACTGTTTAGGTCCTTTCCTGCACAAGGACCCTCTGCGTTCTCTCAGCCCTGATGTCACCACCACCCATGAACCCCTGCCACACACCTGCACAGGCGCACATGTGCCCATGCCCTGGCACACACACCGTCCTCGCTGCTCCCAGTCACCACGCCCCAGACTCCCGTTTTCTTCTCCCCATTGGTGCTGACCCGACATACTCCCCTCCCCGACTCTCCCTGCAGCCAGATTTACTGCCATGGGGAGCTTCTGCACCAAGTTCAGATGGCCAAACTCTACCAGGATGATAAGCAGTTTGTGGACATGCCTCTGTCCTTAGCTCCAAGTGAGAACCCCAGGGGCCCCGCCTTCTCCTGAACCTTCCACCAAAAGGCAGGGGGCAAGACCAGACAGGCAGGGGCCCCTGATCAGGGAAGGCTCCCTGGGGTCCCGCTGACCCCTCCTGCTGCCTGTCCCCCAGACCAAGTCCTGAGGCGCTTCCACGAGCTGGCCCAGGTCCACAACCTCAGCATCCCCCGGCAGGAGCTGCAAGTGTTCATCCAAGAACACTTCCGGGCTGTGGGGAGGAGCTGCAGCCCTGGACCCCTGGGGACTGGAGAGACAGGTACAACCCTGGACGCGCAACAGGAGAGGGGCCTTTGCTCAGGGCTGCCCCCCTCAACCCTATGGGGGGTCTTCCAGCCCCCAGTTTCTGCAGAAGATATTGGACCCCAAGCTGCGAGCCTGGGCAGGGCAGCTGCACCAACTCTGGAAGAAGCTGGGAAAGAAGGTACCAGTGCCCTGAGCCTGGCAGAGGGAGAAGGAGATGGGGAAGGGGTGAGCCATCTGGGGCCCTTCCTGTTCCCTCTACGCCCTCACCTGTGTAGAGCTGGAAATAGATGAACAGAAAACACCTGATGTGGACCCAGCAAGACACTGGGCCCTATTTCCTGAGAACACAGTCCTTGAACAGGACTCTCCAAAAAGAGCTTCTGAGAGGCAGGAAGGCAACATCTACTTCTAACTCCTCACCTCCTCCCTGAAGCCCTCCGAGCCTCCCCCAGGCAAACTGAGCCCATCCTCCACCCCCAGCTGCCCCGTCCTGCCCTTCACACCCCGTGGTGAGTGTTCACTCCCCTGCTGGTCCCTCTTACCTGAGCTCCTCGGGCCAGGCCTCTGCTCAGGAACCATAATTGCTCCCCCTGATTCTGGCCCAGACTTGTGCTCAGCACCGTCTGTTATGCACTTTCTCCCCTTTGAGGCTCAGAGAGGGCAGCCGTTTGCCCAAGGCTGCACAGCTCCTGTCCTTCCGCCTGGCCCCAGGGCCCTGGCACCCACTGCACAGAGCAGGGCTCCAGGGTCATGCATGTGCCGGCTTGGGCTGCGTCCTCACCAGCCCCCACCCAAAGGGAAAAACCTGGGCCCCTTCCTCTGTTCCCTCCAAATCTCTGACAGGCTGACCTCTCTCCCACTAAAGCCCTCACGTGTGTAGGCTGGGAGAGGATGAACAGAAAACACCTGATGTAGAGCCGTGAGCCCTGCTGACGCTCCTGTGCTCTCCCCCAGGGCACGCTCATCCACACCCACCTCACTGCAGAAAGCTGTGGGGGTTTCATCCACACCTGGGCCAGAACTGGGGGCCCTGATCCTCTGGGCCTGGCTTCATGGTGGTCACAGATATTCGGGGGGCACTGGGAGCCAAGGACATGCCCACCAGCTGGCTGCTGATACTGGCTGCTGTGTGGTGAGCACTGCGGTGCCAGGCTGAGGGCTCCAGGCTCCTGCACGCCGCTGCTCCTGCTGGGATTCTGGAGGCCGGCACGTGGGGACCAACAGACAGACTCCCCATGGCCCAGGCCTGGACCAAGGCCACACGGCTGAGCAGCACCAGAGCCAGAGCCCATGCCCGGGCTGCAGGGCCGCCAGCCTCCGCTCCACATGGGCCCAGGGTGCCCGTGTCCTCTCTTCTGACTCCAGGTGAAGCCAGAGGTCCTCATCCACCCCAAGCAGTTCTCGCTGATCTACTCAAGACACCCCTTCATTGTGCCCGGTGGGTGCTTTGTGGAGTTCTACTACTGGTGAGCAGCCAGGGGCTGCGGGAGGGTGAGGGGTGGGGAGGGGAGCCCAGTGCCAGCAAGACGTCTTGGCGTGGCCCAGGTGTGTAGGGCAGAGGATGGGGTGGGCGATGCCTGAGCTGACTGTCCTCCTCCAGGGACTCCTACTGGGTGATGGAGGGTCTGCTCCTCTCTGAGATGCCCGAGACGGTGAAGGGCATGCTGCAGAATTTCCTGGACCTGGTGCAGACGTAAGGCGGGGTGGGCACTGCAGCCAGGGTCGGGGGAGCAGGTGCCGTGGGCCTGGGGCCGGTTTGCCTCGGCTCTGGCAGCCGGTGGGCCAGTCAGCAGGCCTCCTTTTGGCAGGTATGGACACGTCCCCAACGGGGCCCTAGTGTACTACCTGCAACGGAGCCAGCCCCCGCTCCTGACCCTCATGATGAACCGCTACGTGGCCCACACCAACGACACCGCCTTCCTACAGTGGGAACCCCTCCCCATGCTGCCCTGCACCCCCCTTCCTGGGACCTCCCGGGGCAGGGTGCTTGGACTGAGAGGGTGCCCGGCTCCATCCCAGGGACCACATTGAGACCCTGGCCTCAGAGCTAGACTTTTGGAGTAAGAACAGGAGCATTTCTGTGAGCTCCAGGGGAAAGAGTTACATCCTGAACCGCTATGAAGTCCCTTACAGGGGCCCCAGGTGAGGACCCACCCGGCCAGCCTCAATCTGTTGTGTGTTCACTCCGGTTTGAGTGTCAGGACTTCCCTGGGCAGGAGGGTGGGGGACTGAGTCCCACCTCTCAGATGATGACCTAATAGCCCTGGGCGGTCCGGGGCTGTGGGCCCCCCAGGACGGCTGAGCCAGGGTGGCTGGGCCTCCTGCACAGGCATGGAGGGTCTAGAGCCCAGTGCCAGGCCCTCCACTCTCTTCTCACCAGGCCGGAGTCTTACAGCAAAGACGCAGAGCTGGCCGCCACCTTGCCGGAAGGTGAGCAGCAGGAAGGGAAGGGGCTGAGCGTGGGCCTGGGCCATGCGTCAGGCCCTGGCCTCCCGTCTGCCGCTGCCTTGTTCCCTCAGGGAACCGGGACACTCTGCTGGCCGAACTCAAGGCCGGGGCCGAGTCCAGCTGGGACTTCTCCTCACGCTGGCTCCTAGGAGGCCCGAATCCCAGTTCGCTCAGCAGCATCCGAGCCAGCAAGCTGGTGCAGGTTGACCTCAACGCCTTCCTGTGCCAGGCGGAGGGGCTCATGAGCAACTTCTACTCCAGACTGGGTGCGCGTGCCCGCAGGGAAGGAAAGAAGGGTGCTGCCAGCTCGGGTCCCTGCCTCAGCCTTGGCAGTCAGCTGCAAGGAGGACCATGACAGGCAGACCTCCAGCTCCCTGGCCTCACCCCACACCCCCAAAGCAGCCGTATCCCTCCCTTTCTCACTGACAGGACCTAGGAGGGGACACCCTACCCCACAGATCCAAACCCCTCCATCCCCTCTCCCTGCCCTTTGACCCCTCAGAGCCAGGGGAATCCACACAGCCAGCCTGTGTCCCCGTGAGGACAAACCTGGGGACAGGCCGGGGCAGGGCCTGGGAGCTGCTTGGGACCGTGTGCTCAGGGAAGTCCAGGCGCTACAGGCCTGAAATGCAGTGGGCTCTGCTCCACATCGGTGTGGCCCCTTGGTTCTCGGGACCTCTGAGTCCAGGGGAAGACAACAGGGGGCCAAACTAGACCCCCTGGGAGGCGGGGGGCCCTGTGGCTTAGCCTAAAGGCAGTGTTGCCCCAGGGAATGACTCTGAAGCTGCGAAGTACAGAAATCTGCGAGCCCAGCGCATGGCTGCCCTGAAGGACGTCCTGTGGGATGAGGGCAAAGGGGCCTGGTTTGACTATGACCTTGAGAACGATAAGAAGAAACTGGAGTTTTACCCATCCAACTTTGCTCCTCTCTTTGCTGGCTGCTTCTCTGACTCGGACGATGTAGATAAAGCTCTGCAATACCTGGAGGTGAGGAGGCAGCATGGTGGGCTGATACACCGGGGCAGGACCACCTGCTTGCTCCCTGACCTCTGGCAAGTGGCAGCCACACACCCAGGCTCCACCCAGTGTCTTACCGGCAGGTCCCACTTCGGCCACCAGGGGGCGGCTGTGAGCCAAGAAGAGAAGGCCCAGGAGGGGTCCCTTGGCTTTAGGAGGGCCCAGCCTCTTGGCTCCCTGTCCAGCCCCCACCCACAGCCACGATAATGTCTGGAAGCTTCTAGGACAGCCGGATCCTCACCTACCAGTATGGAATCCCGACCTCTCTCCAGAAGACAGGCCAGCAATGAGACTTCCCCAATGCCTGGGCCCCCCTGCAGGACCTGGTCATCAGAGGTAGGGAGGGAGGGATGGGGCCTACCCCACCTCAGCACCACGAGGGCAGAGGCTCGGCCTCCCTGGCACTGGGGAGGCGTGAACAAAGGATGCAGAGGCCTTTCTCTAGCTTCTCTGCTCTCTCAGCCTCTCAGCAAACAGTTACACCTGCCCCCACCTGTCAGGGGAACCAACCCTCTGCTCTCCTTGAGCCAACCAAGGTTAAGAGCAGTTTGGCTTCTGGTTCCAGGAAGGAGGTCTTAGCACCTGGGCCTCTTTCCATCCTTGGGAGAATAAGGTTCAGGCCTCTGCTTCTGCTGGGATTCGGGCTCTGGAGATGCAGGGTCCTGCCATGGGTGGGGTCTAGGTCTGGCCAAGTCTCCTTCAGCCAAAGCCCAGGAAGTAGCTTTCCAGCTGGCCCAGAATTGGATCCAAACCAACTTTGATGTCTACTCCAAAGAGTCAGCCATGTATGAGAAGGTGAGCTGACCATAAGCCCTGTCCCTGGGGTCCTCCTGCCCAGGGTGAGATGGGGAATTGTCAGGCTTTGCAAAGCCCGAGCCCAGTATAACCCGGGGCAGTGGCGGCACCTGCTGGTCATTCCTGGGCACTGCAGGGCTCAGCCTCTGGCCAGAGCAGCTTCTCCCTGTAAGGGGCTCCTGTTTCTTGCTTCCCTAGAGGCCTGGGGTTGGGGGGCTGGGGCAGAGCTTGACCTTAAAGCTCATCCTCTTGTCCTCAGTATGACATCAGCAACGGTGGACAGCTAGGTGGTGGAGGGGAGTATGAAGTTCAGGTGAGTGGGCCACATCCTCCAGGGAGCTTCAGGGATTTGCTGTGCCCTTAACTGGCCATGACCTCCCCTCTCTGGGCCTCAGCTTCTTCCGTGGAGATTAGACCCCAGGGAGGAGCCCGACTGGCGCTCCCTGGTACCCCTGGGGCTGGGCCTCTAGGTGGGGATCCCACAACCCGTAAGAGGACTTGGGGGCTTGCCCCAGGGGTCTTGCCCCACGGACCTTACCTTTCTCCAGGAGGGGTTTGGCTGGACCAATGGCGTGGCCGTGATGCTGCTGGACCGCTATGGGGACCAGCTGAACTCGGGGGCGCAGGCTGCTTTCCTGGAGCCCCACTGCCTCGCAGACGCCCTCCCGCTCAGCCTCCTGCCACAGTGACGGGCCTTCAGGTCCCCATCTGGCTCCAGCTGCTGCCGATTCAACCTCCACACGCATCCCTACCTTGTCCTGCCCCCTGATCCTTTATCCCTAGAGAGCCCACCGCCTCCCTCTCCCCTCCCCCAGCCCAGTCCTTGGTCATAGCAGAGTGGGGGCAGGGCAAGGACCTGGAGGTCATGGTTGGGCCCTGGGTCCCTCCTGGAACATTTAATAAAGTGGAAATGTTGCACCATGGATCAGACCTACTCTCCTTTCCCACGAATCCCAACCCCACGCCGCTCACAACCAGGCCTCCCAAACACATAGTCCAAATGCTTTATTGTTCTGCTGAGATGCTTACAAATACTGAAAAACATCCAGCCCAGGCCTGGCAACCATGGTCCAGGGCTGGGAAGGGGGACAGGGAGGTGGGCTTAGTGTTAAGGCGCAAAGGGCTGAGCCCAGACACCTGGAGGCCTGGGCCTCTGCTCTTCATTTCATCCCCATTCTGAGGGGAGGGCAACCAGACCCTCGGGCTCCCCCTCCTGCTCAAGACTTCCTCCAGGGAGCATCTGAACAGCCCTCTGTCCATCAGAAACTCAGCCATATACCAGAACCCCGAGGACGGCCCTCCTAGCTCCTTCTCCCATCTGATGGCTCCTCCTCTGGCCTCCAGTTCCCGGCTTCGTCCCTTCTGGCTCTAAGCAAGGCACGAGTGTATGGGGGAGGGCTGGAGGGGGGAGCCGGCAGGCTGTGTATCAGGGCCTGGAGACACAGGCAGGGGGCAGGGTGAAGGTATTTAGTCCCTTTCCCCATCCCCAGCAGGAGATGCCCAAGGGCCTGGGCTGGAGAGATGATGGCACGTACCCTCAGATGGGCCCGCAGCTAAGCAGTGGGCTGAGCCACGGAGCCATGGCAATTAGTATGTAACCATGGTGATGAAGCAGTCACTATGGTGACCGTGGTGATGGGTCTGCAAAAAGGGGCTAGGGCTGGGACCTCAAGGATGACACTCAGTCTCTGGTCCTTGAGCAAAATCATAAAAAATACAAATGCGGCACAAGAATGGGATAGAGCGGGGTTTGAGAATTACACTGCCTGAGCTGTTACCCTACTCTGGATGTGGAGCTACTCAGCCCCCAAGGGCCCTGCAATGGGGGCTGAGGCAAGAGGGGATCTTTGGCAGATTCTGGTACCATAACGTGTCCTTTAGAAAAGAGAACACAGGCAGGGAGCGCAGGTGCCAGGTCAGAGTGGGGGGGCCCCCTCTGTGACAGCACCTCAGCCTGGGGGGGCCCTGGGGCAGGACCCTAACAGGCTATTGCAAGTTCTGGGCTCCCAGGAGGCAGCAAAGCCCCCTCCTCAACTTTTACCTCCTGGCTGGTTTTTCAGAGGGGGCCAAAGCTCAGAAACTCACAGGACGAGCTCCTTACAGGACATTAGAGTCTCTTGTACAAAAGCCCCAGTCGTGCTCCGCCTTCCAGGGCCTCTGGGAGCCCAGGGCGCGACTTCCTGTCCAGAGGCAGGTGGGGCAGTGGGCTGCTGGGCCCCGGTGGGTCAGTTCATGAACTGAGTGTAGCCCTCGGCCCTGTGACGATGACATCCATCCAGATGCGCATGGCCTCAGTTCATGAACTGAGTGTAGCCCTCGGCCCTGTGATGATGACATCCATCCAGATGCGCATGGCCTCAGTTCATGAACTGAGTGTAGCCCTCGGCCCCTGTGACGATGACGTCCATCCAGATGCGCATGGCCTCTGCGGACGGGGCCACCATGTAGTACAGCCGGTCGTGCGTCTTCACGCAGAAGGTCAGGGCTGGGTTCGGGCTCTGCGGGGGGAGAGGAAGCTCTGAGCCGGGGCCCGCCGCTGGAGGCCAGCCTGAAGCACCTCACGCCCGCCTTGCCGTCCACCCTTCTTCTCTGCCTCCAGGACACCCTGAGTCTTCCATAGGCCTGGAACCCGCTCCCCACCAGCCCAGGCTGGGATGTCCCCTCCTCACATCTAGGGCAGTCTGCAGACCTCAGCAGGACCATACCCTGCCAGGTGAGGACACCGTTCCTTGGCGCCCTCGGGCACAAAGAGAATACTAAGAGAATCAGATGCAAAGGGATGACCAGAGTCCTCTCCCATTAAGAAAGGAGCAGATGGAAAAAGCTGCGAGCCGGGTGCTGGGCCCCAGGACCCCAGCGGAGCAGAGATGAGGACCGGAGCAGGCATCGCCGGCCTGGCAGGAGGGAGGCCAACCCGCACGAAGGCAAACAGCCCCAGCCTCCCGCAGCTCCTGTCCCTAAGTCCTCTCACCCAGACCTCGTCTCTTAGGAACCCCCACGCCCCCTGCAGCCTCCCCGTCGCACTGCCCACCCCCAGAGAGGGAGATAGTCTGCTGCCATCTCAGGACCCGGAGGCCAGCGAGCTCCCCTGAGCTCACAGGGGCTCCCTGCTGTCTGCACCCGCTGCATTCCACCCTCAGGCCTGCAGGGAGGGGAGGGACTTAGGGGAGAGTCAGGGAAGGGTCAGGGGCCAGGGGGGTCCAGGAGGCGTTAATACGCGGTAGTTCTGGTTAGAGGTGTGTGGGGAGGGGTACCTCAGTCACCATAGTGAAGCTCAGAAACCTCTTCTGGGAAAGGGAGAGAGGAAGAGAAAGTTTACAAGAGGACGAGGAATGGGTCCGAGCCTCTGAAGGGGGCAGGCTGGAGGTCTCTACCCCAGAGCCCCGCCGGCCCACACTTCCCAGGGCTGGCGCTCACCTTGGCGGCACTGCGCAGGTGGTCATAGTACACCTCCTCGATGGCCTGGAAGTAGATGACCCCCTTCAGCTTCGTCTCGTGCTTGTCTGCAAAGGAAGACGGGCAGGGCTCAGGAGGCCTGGGGGGCTTTAGGTCAAGCTCCGTGGACACAATGTCCCACCCGGGAAGTGGGGTGACTCCCGGGACTCGGAAACAGAGCCCAGATTCTGTGTCAGTGTTTAGCCTTGCCCAGAATGACAGAGGAGGCAAATCGGATCCCCACTGAGATACCACCGCTCACCCATCAGAGCAGCAAAGATAAACTCAAACACACAGTGCATCTGTGACACGCCTGTGGGGAGACAGGCAATATAATAAATCAGACAGGTGGGGATATAAGTTTGTAGACCTCTAGGAACGACTTGGCCTCTTTGACCAAAGTTAGAAAGGTGTTTGCCCTTTGAGCCAATTTCAGTACTTGGAAAATTTATCTTACACATGTACCTCTCTCTCTGTGAAAGTCACTCAGTTGTGTCTGACTCTTTGTGACCCCCATGGACTATATAGTCCATGGAATTCTCCAGGCCAGAATACTGGAGTGGGTGGCCTTTCCCTTCTCCAGGGGATCTTCTCAACCCAGAGATCAAACCCAGGTCTCCCGCATTACAGGGGGATTCTTTACCAGCTGAGCCACAAGGGAAGCCCAAGAATACTGGAGTGGGTAGCCTATCCCTTCTCCAGCAGATCTTCCCAACCCAGGAATTGAACCGGCGTCGCCTGCATTGCAGGCGGATTCTTTACCAACTAAGCTACTAGGGAAGCCCCACACATGTATGAAAGAAAACATTTACAAGATTCACCGTGGCAGTAATTAGAGTCACAAAAGATTAAAAACAACCCAAGTATCCATCAAGTGGAGGCAGCTAAGTAGAGTGTGCCTTGTGATGAAATACACCTAGCTGTTTAACGGAATAATGAATATCTGATATAGATACACATTCAGAAATAAATCTACAAAGACTTCCTTGGTGGTCTAGTGTGAAGATGATTCTGTGCTCCCAATGTAGGGAGCCCAGGTTCAATCCCTGGTGGGTAACAAGATCCCCATGCCACAATTAAGACCCAGTGCAGCCAAATAAATATTTTAAAAATAAACAACACACTTCAAATAATCCATGACCCAAACTAAAGTTTTTAGATAAATTAGAAAAAAAATTTTTTTTTAAATCTATAAAATACATCTGGATATCAACATCTAGACATTGATATATTTGAGACAGACCTCTAAGATAACATAGCAGGAAAACAAGGAGTGTACTGGGTGTTATCTTTTGTGTAAGAAAAATGTTAGTCACTCACTCATGTCCAACTCTTTGCGACCCCATGGACTATAGCCCGCCAGGTTCCTCTGTGGGTGGGATTCTCCAGGCAAGAATACTGGAGTGGGTTGCCACTCCCTTCTCCAGGGGATCTTCATGACCCAGGAAAAGGGGTAAGAATATATGTTTGCATTTGTTTAAATTCCCTTAAAGAAACTCTAGAAGGATACATAAGAGATTGATAAAGGTAGTTACCTGTAGTCAGAGGGGATATAATTCTCAATTTAAACCTTTTTATGTGTTTTGAGTTTTGAACTACATGAATGCATTTATCTATTCAACTCAAACAGTAAAAACATGGAAGAAGCATACAGCATCTGGAGGTAGGGATGCCAAGAAGGAGGTGGGCAAACCCGCAGAGCAGAGGACCGCTGGGGTGGGAGGGACAGGCCACTGGCGAGGGCGAGCAAGGCCTGGCCACCCCGTCTGGGGCCAGGCACCGAGCGGGCACCACAGCTCTGGGCAGCGAGCCCGTGTCGCAAAGCAAAGGCCACACGAGCACTAAACTCGGGCGGTGCCAGCTGGCAGCACCACCTTCCCACCCCACCCGACCCCCACCCTTACAGGCCTGAGGCAGGGGTCCTGGGTCGGGCTGCCACCTCCTCACCCGCCCCTTCCCACCCCTGCCCCTAAACTCCCTGCCCTGTAGGAGCGGGAGCTTCCTACAGCAGATCAAATCCTGCTGCCTCAGCTCACGGGCTTCTCTGCCAGCCCCCTCACTGGAACCCGCTGCCTCCTCGGCTTTGGCAAAGGTCCCCGACTGGCCAGTGCCAACACATCCCTCTGGCCTTGCCTCACTTCCCTCCCCGGCACCAACCCCGGTTCTCTCTGGCCAGGCTGGGCTTCTCTCGGGCCCTTATCGGTCCACTCTGCCGATACTGGAATGGCCTCTAACATATTCCCTTAGCAAACTCCTAAGTCACCTTCAACGCCTGTTGCAAATGTCACCACTACGTGATCAGTTGTGCGCTCACACGCTCCTGCAGCAGGGGTTCTCCTCTTTACAGACTTACTGTGCTGAATCTTCCTTTAGGAGACTTCCCTTCCCTGGTGGTCCAGTAGCTAAGACTCTGAGCTTCCCATGCAGGGGCCCCATGTTTGATCCCTGGTCAGGGAAATAAGATCCCACATGCTATAACTAAAAAATTCTGCATGCTGCAACTAAGACCCAGCACAGTCAAATAAGTAAACATTAATATCTTAATGACCTGGATAACCACAATGGTGTGGTCACTCACCTAGTGCAGACATCCTGGAGCGTGACGTCAAGTGGGCCTTAGGAAGCATTACTATAAACAAAGCTAATGGAGGTGATGGAATTCCAGTTGAGCTATTTAGAATTCTCAAAGATGATGCTGTGAAACTGCTGCACTCAATATGCCAGCAAATTTGGAAAACTCAGCAGTGGCCACAGGACTGGACAAGGTCTTCATTCCAATCCCAAAGAAGGGCAATGTCAAAGAACGTTCAAACTACTGCACAGTTGTACTAATTTTACATGCCAGTAAAGTAATGCTCAAAATCCTTCAAGGTAGGCTTCAGCAGTATGTGAACCGAGAACTTTCAGATGTAAAAGCTGGGTTTAGAAAAGGCAGAGGAACCAGAGGTCAAATTGCCAGTATTCAATGGATCATAGAGAAAGCTAGGGAATTCCAGAAAAACTGCTTCATGGACTACACTAAAGCCTTTGACTGTGTGGATCACAACAAACTGTGGAAAATTCTTAAGGAAATGGGAATAGCAGACCACCTTACCTGTCTCCTGAGAAACCTGTATGCAGATCAAGAAGTGACAAAACCAGACATGGAACAATGGACTGGCTCAAAATTGGGAAAGGGGTATGACAAGGCTGTATATTGTCACACTGCTTATTTAACTTATATGCAGAGTACGTAAGGCGAAATGCCCAATTGGTTGAATCACATGCTGGAATAAAGACTGCTGGGAGAAATATCAACAACCTCAGATATGTAGATGATACCACCCTAATGGCAGAAAGTGAAGAGGAACTAACGAGCCTCTTGCTGAAGGTGAAAGAAGACAGTAAAAAAGCTGGCTTAAAACTCAACATTCAGGTCTTCCCTGGTGGCTCAGTGGTAAAGAATCGGCCTGCCAGTGCTGGAAACACGGGTTTGATCCCTGGTCTGGGAAGATTTCACATGCCGCAGAGCAACTAAGCCCTTGGACTACAACTAACTAAAGCCCGTGCTCTAGAGCCTGCGAGCCACAACTCCTGAAGTTGCACGTTCTACAGCCCCTGCTCCACAACAAGAGAAGTCACCACAATAAGTCCGTGCAACTTTTGCAAGTAGCCCCTGCTCGCTGCAATCAAAGGAAAGCCTGTGCAGCATCAAAGACCCAGCACAAAAATAAATAAATTAATAAAAATTTTTTTAAAAACCTCAACATTCAAAAAACTAAGATTATGGCATCCAGTCCCATCACTGCATGGCAAACAGACAGAGAAAAAGTGGAAACAGTGACAGATTTTATTTTCTTGGGCTCCAAAATAACTGCAGATGGTGACTGCAGCCAGGAAATTAAAAGATGCTTGCTCCTTGGAAGAAAAGCTGTGGCAAACCCAGACAGCATACTAAAAAGTGGAGACATCACTTTGCCAACAAAGGTCTGTATAGTCCAGGAGTCATGCACGGATATCAGAGTTGGACCATAAAGAAGGCTGAGTGCTGAAGAACTGATGCTTTTGAATTGTGGTGTTGGAGAAGACTCTTGAGAGTCCCATGGACAGCAAGGAGATCCAACAAGTCAATCCTAAAGGAGATCAACCCTGAATGCTCATTGGAAGGACTGATGCTGAAGCTAAAACTCCCAATTTTTGGCCACCTAATGCAAAGAGCTGACTCACTGGAAAAGACCCTGATGCTGGGAAATATTGAAGGCACTAGGAGAAGAGGTCGGCAGAGGATGAGGTTAGATAACATCACCGACTCAATGGACATGAATTTGAGCAAACTCCAGGAGATAGTGAAAGACAGGGAAGCCTTGCGTGCTGCAGTCCATGGAGTCACAAAGAGTCAGACACAACTTAGCGACTGAACAACAACAATAAAACATTAACGAACCCTCCTTTATCTGTTCAGAGGTCAAGCTCTTCCAATCTGGACTGCTATGTACCCAGCAGGTCCTCAATCGATGTAGAATAAATGAGTTCAAGGAAGTGGGATCCAAAGAAGTCAGAGACCCTTTTCTTAGGAGCCCACAGTTTAGGGGTGAAGAAAGCAGACACACATCCACTGTGTGACTTGGGCATGGTTAGGACTCCAAGGGAACACCTACAGGTTACCGGCGGTCATGAGCACTAAGTGAGAGGACACACTCCAAGGGTTCAGCACAGCGTCTGGCACAATACATGTGGATCTGTCATGACATCATTATGCCCCAGGGCTGATGTCACATGGCAGAGGGACCCTGTGTAACGCAGGAGTTACCCAGAGGAGGGCAGGAACCACTCCCAGTGAGGTGGGGCTTCACAGAGGTGCGTTCTGATGTGGACCCTGTAGAATGGAGGGGTTTCATGGAGGAGGGAGCAGGATCCAGGAAGGCCAGGGAGAATGGCAGCATTCTGTTCTCTCCTGGCTCTTCCTTCACTGGAAATAGTAACACATTCCTGCCTCCGCTTCCTCACCGCCCACCTATCCTCCACCGGATTGTGTGCAGTCTGGCTCCCGCCCCAGCACACAGTGGAAACCATTCTCTCATCAAGATCCAATCGTTGAATCGAATGGCCTTTGGGTGCACATTATCCCTGGCCTTTCTGCAGCATCCATCATCACCATAATGTCTCAATTTCTTCCGTAAATTATACTTTTTTATTCCATGACACCCCATGCTGGCAGGCACACATCCACTCCTCTGCCTTCCCCATTTCCGCACCGCCCTCCCCCTCCCCTCCCCAGCTGGTTTCACAGACATGAAGGAAGGTCACACATGCCAAGCGCCAGCTCAGCACCCGGCCTGTGCCGTCCCGGCTCCTGCACCCTGCTTTACTGCAGCCTCCTTCTCCCCAACAAGGGTGGGCCTGCCCTGGGGTACAGTTCTGTCTCTCCCTCTTCTCTGAAGTCTAACTGTCCGAGCTCAGCTGCTGAGAGACCTTAGGCAAGTTACCTAACCTCTCTGTGATTAATTTTCCTCATCTGTAAAACAGGTGTAAAAACAGTGCTTCCTTCACAAAATTATGATGATGATTAAATGAGATGATACATGTGGAGGGCTGAGCACAGCATCTGGCTCACATGCCTGTGCAGTATGATCTGCTACCATCATCATTATTATTATTCCAATCGCTTTGACTTTCACTCTACCTCTAGCCCTGACCCTTCTCATAACCTTAGACACCCCAGGGGCCCTTCAACCTCAACGCGCCTAAGATGGAGCTGTCCTCCCAGGCCTGACCAAGTCCGTTCTCAGACTAGGCAGAAACATGGGGGCACCCATATGCCTCTCCACACCCAAGGCCCAGGTGGGCAGGGAGGGCTTCCTGGAAGAGATGGCATTTGCCTGGGGACCAGGTCAGGGGGGGGGGGGGAAACCGGGTGCTCCAGGCTGCATGACTCCAGCATCACACACTTCTGGCCCTTTCCCTCCCGCTGAGCAGGATGGCTCTCTTGGCTTTGTGGTTGGGTGGGGTGGGGTGACTGGCTGAACAGGCCCGCTAGTGACTTGGGGACAGACTCCACCTGGGGAATTTAACTCAGTGCAAACCCAATCACATTTCTCTTTACTGCCACTGCAGCCAGCAGCATTCCAGAAAGGCATGCTCTGAAGCAAAGAAAGCATCCACACAGGGCAGACCCCCACCAACCCATGACAAACATGGACGCAGATCAGGAGTAAGAAGAACTTTGGTTCTGAGCTCCTGGGATCTTAGGATGGGGTTGCTTCTGCAGCACAGCCCAGCCTGTCGTGACGGGGCTATGATACAACATCCCAGTCTCCAAGTGGGAACTGTCCAGAGGGAACTCCAGGGCTGGGAAACCAAGCTGGAGGCCGGGTGCAGAGGGCTGAGGGAGCAGAATGGCCTGGGGTGCTGCCCCCTGGGCACTGCTCAGCTGCTTGTCTTGGAGTCTGCGGGAACTTGCCTAAAAGGGATCCACAGGACTCCATGCACCCACAGCATCTGGGGTCTCCTACAGCACGCCCATCATTCTTTGTTCACTGTTTGCTTCCTGGCAACAGGCTCCAGGGGAGAGGGTTGTGGCTCCCTTGCTTATCATCAGAGCTTAAGATACTGATATCTTAAGCTCTGATATCATCAGAGCCTGGGACTTACTAGGTGCTTAGTAATACTGCTGGAAAAAAAAATGAATCAGTGAACAAAGAAAAGGAGGTAAGCCAGGTATACCTTGTACATTTTCAGGGAGGGGAGAATAAGACCCAGCTCAAGGCCCGGGTCCCCACCTGGAAGCTTCTGTGTGACAGAGCCCTGGGGTCCCAGCTCTGAGGCAGTCTAGGGGGAACTCACCCACATAATAGGAAAGGGTGCGCTTGAGCCGGTCAAAGACAAACCAGCGCTTCTTCCATGACTTGATCTTGCCGCCCATCTTGACCAAGTAGCCACGGCAGACCTGGTGGGAAGCAGGAGTGAGGCAGGACCCAAATGCACAGACCCCTAAACCTTCTTCCCTGAGCAGCAATATCAGCCCATCACCTGTGCCTGTGTTCACAGGGGGGCTGTCTCTAGCATCTCTTCAAGCCAGCACACCTGTCCCGGGACAGAGACCGCTGGTATTAGGGCGGGAGCTGAGGCCACTATTCCGAGGACCCAGGAGGGGCCTCTGACCGTGGGGTCCCCACCATGCCCCCCAGAGCCCCTCATGCCTGTACCTTGCTGCTGAGCACCACGTGCAGACAGGTATCCACGCCATGGCCTGACGACTCGATGTGGGTCTTCAGGTCAAAGTCTTCCTTCCGGATTGGCAGGTAGCGTGTCAGGGGTCGTGCCTGGGAACAGAGAGCAGGATGAGCAGGGGCTGTTCCTTCCCGTCATCCCCTTTTCCAGGTCCCTCGGCTTCAGTCCTGAACCCCCACTCTGTCCCTCTGGTTCCACGGGGCTTTGGCCCAAGCAGAGACCTGGCACGCCTGCGCTGACTCCACCCAGGCCTGGGCAAACTGCTGAACAGCTCTATGCCTCAGCTTCCCAGACCCAGCCGCCCTGTCCCAAATGTGATAAGGCGAAAGAATGCGGTCTCGGAAGAAAGGCCCAGTAAGCCCAGTACGAAGCCCGGCCTTCCCGGGTTGGGGGGGGCTTTGTTTGGGTCACAACCGCTCTCTGGGCTTATCCTCATGTGTAAACAAGGGCTTTGAACTAGAGAATCTCTGAGGTCTGTTCCACCTCAAAATTTCTGAGACTTATCTATAATTTTCAGGCAATGGGAATTTTCTTCCTACTCTTTATTTCTAGGAAGAATGTTAGAAATGAGGTGAAAAGGAAACACTACAGATTATTTAAAGAAGCAACAAGATGTCCAGCTTCCCAGAGGTGCCCGGAAACGATGAGCCCACTCCGCCGACTCTCCCAAAGATGTGTGGCCACACCTGAGCCCCAGGGCAGCTGGAGGAGTTGAGTCCCGGAGAGGCCAGAGACACGAAAGGGGAACGAGGCATACGACAGCGATCCCAAGCAAACTCCCGGAGTTTCTCATTATTTCTGAATTCTCAAACCAAACAATATACCCCTTAGACTTTATGTCGCTGCATCATTAGGAAATCAAGGAGCTACAATCACCAGTCACTGCAGGGCAGGACCCCCACCCCCGGGGAGGCCCGTGGAGACCCCACAGGAAGGGACGGACTGTCTGAGTCTCATGGGCTCTCCTGGGGGCCCAGGATCTGGGACCAGAAATGCAGGTAGATTTTCCTGCCTAACCTAATTTCTTCTGCCTTCAACTCCTCTGCTTAAGGCTCCCAGGTAATGAAACACCCTCAAGTTGGATTCTGTGTAGGGATGGGGTTCTTGTCCCAGGAAGAAGCTGGTACAATTATCTTTTGGAGATGTAAACCGCAAGTCAGGGTGAGCTCAGCTGCTGGTGGTGGGGCCTGGAGCCAAAAGGTCCGGTGGAGTGAGGCCAGGACAGACACCAAGCACTTGGTGCAGGAGGGCACAGGGATGCGGGAAGGGATGCGGGGCAGATGCACGAGGAAGACCCAAGAGGCCCCTGAGAGAGGCCGAGGGGAGTCCCCCAATCTGTACACGGCTCCCACCTCTGGAAGGCCTGCGCAGACCCTCATCTCAACTGGGTGGCCTGCCACACCCCCAAACCCGACCCCGCCCCCCCCAGCACACACACACCGGCTTGCACAGGCCCTAGTGGGTCCCTGTTCTTCAGGGCCAAGCAAGTCCCAGGTAGAATCCTGCTTTGGCAAAACTTCCTGGAGAGAACAGGCTCCACCGCCCAGCAGGGGTACCCTGGGCCACCCGGACCCCTCCACAGTCCCACCCCAAGCCCCCACCCGCTCACCTGCGAGAACTGCTTCTCCCGCATCTTGACCTCCTTCTCCACGAGCTGCTGCCTCCGGGCGCTCTCGCTCTGCAGCCTCCGTTCAACCTGCTCCCGCCGCCTCCGCTCCTCCTCCAGGGCCTGCCGCCTCAGCTCCATCTCCCGCTCCTGCACCCAGGGCTGCGGCTCAGTGCCCATGGCTGCCCTCTTACCCCCAAGCCCCCCATCTCCCCTCCTCGGGCTGGGCCAGAGCTACAGGAGACACCCACCTCAGAGGGCAGCCTGGTATGAGGGACCAGGGTCCTCCAAGCCCACCCTCCTCTCCATGGACCGTGCTGACAAGGGTAAATGCCTTAAAGTGAGACCACCCTGCCTCCAAGCCCTGGTTCTACCACCACTGTGAGCGCCGGACCCTGACAAACTCCCTAAGCCTAGTTTCCTCCTCCGTGAGATGCGGCCAAGAGCGCCTACTCCTGGAACTGTAGGGAAAATTAAATGCGATCTTGTAGGTAAATGTCCATCACTGATGCTGGCAGGATGGAAGCACTCAATTGAAAAAAAAAGGGGGGGGCTTTTAAAATCTGTATCTGAATTCCTAGGACATGGGTTATCGAAACAACTTTTTCTGACATCAAATGCATTCAGCAGTTCTGCCCTAATCACTAAGTGAAGGCCCTTTGAAATTCCAAACAGTCACAGTTGACCTTCAAATTTTATGGGGAAAAAAGAACTTATGAAAGCCATTATCAAAAGATTTTTAGTCATTAAAACAAATCATTAAATACAGAGCACGTGGGTGATGTTTTATATCTCTTCATCACCGGTAACAACTTTCACATTACTAACTCCCATCTACCATTTCTTCCCAGCTGAAAATTTAGCAGAATCTGGTTTTTTTTTTTCCTTTTGCCAAGAGATGTTTGCAAATGTGCCCTCCTTTCAAGGGAGTTTAAGATTCAGAGGCCTTCTTTTCTGGTTAGTCTCCTGCTCCCAGGGCCCCACTCTCATCTCCAGACACACAGAGCGCCCCGGATAACAGAGACCGAACGTCTTCAGCAGATTCTTTATTCAGCCTCCTCCCTGGGCACAGTTTCCCCAGCCTGGCTGTGTCCCAGCCCCAGGTCCACGGGCAGGGAACGTGATGTGCCCACAGCCAACGCCTCTGCTCTGGCTTGGATATCTGCTTTCTCTCTGTCCTCATCCTTCAAGCCCCAGTTCCCGACTGTCTCCAAAAGGAGTGACCTGGTACTCAGGTAGACAGGCATCAAAATTTCCTTGGTGGCCAAAGGTCCCCTGAAGTGAACACACAAAGACTGGAAGTTCCCATGCAGGAAATTCACAGCTGGACAATGGTTACCGTGCTCCCTCCCCTTTTCCTAAGGGCTGTGAAACTTGTCATCTCGCCAAGCCTCCCGATCCCCCACTTGAGGAACCCAGGCTTGGAAAACACTCTCTTCCTCAAGGGACTGCGGCAAGAACAATGTGGGAAAGGGGCCTCAGAAGGGACGGAGGCCCCGGGCAGGCAGAGGGCAGCCCCAGGGCCCAAGTCTGCCTCACCCTCGACTCCATCAGCCGACTCTTCTCTGCGTGAGCTTCTTTCAGCATCTTCTCCATTTCCTCAATCTTCCCCATGTCCAGGCCGCTGGCGCTGGGGAGGAAAGGGGGGAGGAGGCGGCTGGTGGAGGTGGAGGCCCCGGGGTGGGGAGGACAGAGGCCGTGCCCGTCGGTGGCCGGGGCCCGGGTACCTGGACATGTTGTCAGGGGAGCAGACCGAGTTGCCCCCCGTGGAGATGCTGGTTTCCATGCTGTCGGAGCTCTCCAGGCTCAGCGTGTCGTAGGCGTGCTCACCCTCCTCGCCTCGCTCCCGTGAGGCCGGCAGGTGATGCAGGATGGAGTGGTGCATGAGTGGCGGGAAGCCCGCGGGCCCAGTGGGGAAGGGCGCCGCCCCGTGCAGGGCGTCCCACTGGCACTGCGCCTCCGCCGCCGCCTTCTGCTTCAGCTCCGCCAGCCGCCGCCGCTGCTCCTCGATCACCTGCTGCCCTGCGTGGGGGGACAGGGGACATCACGGTGGGCACCCCACCCAGCCAGGGAGGACACTGGCAGCGCTATAGACAGAGGGAGGTGGCGAGCGGGGAGAGGTAACATGGAGCAGCTCCCTCGCCCCCCACCAGCTTCCCCGAAGCCCCCACAGCTCTGGGTCCGGCTGCCTTGGCTTCATCACCCGCACAAGTGGCCACAGCCGTGCGGTCCGGCTTCAGCATCCTCACTGCATGCTGAGTCCACACAGGGCCCTGAACCTGCCCGGGGGGCGCCCCGGGGGCACAATGACCTGGTGGCTCCAGCTCACAACCCAGGCCTGAACAGGTGGGCAGGGCGCATGCTCCCAACCCTGCTGCTGGGAGGAGGAAGTGGTGCCGGCAGCCCGAGCACCCACATCAGTGCACACCCCGCAGCAATGCAGAAGCAGGAGCTCACAGGAAAGGAGGGAAGGGAGACAGGCGGAGCTCCGCTGCAGCAGAAGAGAGCTCGCGAGGCCAACCCGACACCCCAGCCCAGCTCAGCCTGGGGGTCTTGCCCGCGGGCAGAGGGGGCCTGGGCAGAATCCATCATGCAGAGGCCCGGGCGGCGGCCGCCCGGCCAAAGCAATGCCCTTGGTGACCAACGCTCTACCTGCTGGGTCGTCGGTTGGGAGGGGCTCGGCAGGAAGCGACTCGACTGGAGTGGGGGGCCCCGGGCAGAGGGCAGGGCAGAGACACAGAGGGGATGAGAGGAGAGAGAGGCACAGACATGGGCTTTCGAAACAACCAAAATGCACACGAGCAACCAGCACTCCTGGGTGTTCCCACGAACTAAAACGTTAGGGAAGCACTTATGGAGGTCATCAGGCCAAACCCCATACCTCCAGACAGGGCAACGTCTAGCCCTACTGAGGTCAACAAGCATTCCCCTTACTTGCTGGGCTCTCTAGGAAAGACGCCACAGCCCAGCTACCCTGAGTCCCCTGCCCCTTAGCCTTTGGATAAGCCTTCAGGAGTTTCTCTTCCTTAGGTCTCTAGTCCAGACCCCTTCTGCTCCCCATGTAAAGGGAACACATCCTGGGCAGGGTGTGGGCGTGGATAAGCTAGGGTGACGGCGTGGCAGACGTCCAGGGCCCCTGGGACAGCAAGTGGGCTGGCACGGCGGCCACTCACCCTTCTGCTGCAGGGCCAGCTGGCGCTTGGTCTCGATATCCTGCAGGGTGGCTGCCAGGTTGCGAGGAAGGCTGCTGGTGCCGTTCTGGGCGAGCAGAGTGCTCTGTGGGGGAGGAAACAGGGCACTGGGACCCGAGGCTCAGAAAACACCCACTACCCACAAGGCTTCGTGGGAGGCTGCGGTTCCTGCCCAGTGTGGCCATCTCCAAACCCCCCCAACCAAAACACCACCTTGCCCCACACGCAGCCCACCCACTGTTCTCAGACCTTGGGTGAGGGGCTGCGGCCCAAGGTAGCCACGCTGAGCTGGGAGGAGGAGGAAGATGAGCCAGAGGAGGAGGGGAGCGGCCCGCTGCGGGTGCGTGGCAGGGGGCTGGTGGCCTCGCCGTCCATCTTGGAGCGGTAAACCTGGAGGGGGAAGGTGGTGTCTGCTAAGTGACCTCAGGCCCCCCGGCCAGCCACCACCCCCACGGCACCAAGCAGGCTGGGACCCAAGGTGCCCAGCACCAGGCCCCTGAGACCTCAGTCTCTTGCTGACCACAGTACTGAGCCTCCGGGGCCAGCCCAGCAGGCGGACATTCCCGGCAGCTGCCAAGCCTCTTTTCCAGGCTGTTCCTCCTTGGGTCCACCCCTGGTCCAACCCCACATCGTAGAAAGGACCGTGTAAACCGGTCCATGTGAGGAGTTAGCACCGATGGGCTGAGTTTTACAGGAGGCCGACTGGAGGCCAGGGCTCCCTCTGGTCCCAGCTCTGCCAAGTAACGGGCTAGGTGACCTTGGGCCACGCACCTCCCCACTCTGGGCCTCAGCCTCCTTATCTGCAAGAGGAGGGGGCAGGGCTAGACTAAATAACTGCCAGCCTCCCTCTCGGCACTCATGTTTGGTGACACAGTCTTTGGAGTCAGGAACCCTGACTCTCAGTGTTTCCCCCGCCACTTCCTAGTTGTGTGACCTTGGAGAGATTACTTATCTGCTCTGGGCCCAAGTGTTTGATCTGTGAAATGAGAGGTCTCGTTATCTACCTCAAAGGCCTGTGGTAGAGATTACGTGAATCAAAACATGTAGAAACCTCAACCCAGCTGGGCACAAAATAGAAAGGCCATGCCAACAACTCCTAAAGGGAACGTGGAATTTCAGCTGAGATCGGTCTTCGAGGTACTAAGTCTTCACTCTAGGAATGAATCTTGAGTGGGCAGGGGCAGGGGGTTGTTCAGGCACCACGGCCAGTCAGTGGAGTAGAACCTGGAGCAGAAGACTGCCCGAATACCCTGCCCCACACCACGGTCAGCAGCTTGCTTGGGGCTCCAGCAGACCCATGCCCCTCACGGCGACTCTGAGTCCAGGGAATGAACTCAGGGCCGTCACCTGAGAGGCTCTGACCTACTCTCTCCTGCCTTGGGGAGTCATCCCTGGGGAGACCAGGAGAACAAAGACGGGCGACTCTCCCAGGATACACAAGCACCAGGGGCAACAGGCTCAGGAGGGTGTGAGGACTGAGCGAGAAGCTCTGGGGTGAGAGTTGCCGAGCACAGAGTGAGGGTGTTGAGTGCCGCATGAGGCACTGCCGCTCCCCAAGCCCCCTTCCGTCGGACCGTCCAGCGCATCACCCTCGGATTCAGGAAGCTGGCCCTCCATGCCCCGAGGGTCAGGATGGCAGCCCGCTCAGGGTCCAGAGGCCCCTGCTGCACTGGCTGGATTAATCCCCCACCATCTGTGCGGCTGAAGGGTCGGCAGGATGTACCCAGAGCAGAGAGGAGCAGGGCTGGGCGGTGAGGGACGGGTTACCTGCAGCTGGCGGGAAGCTTTGGCGGGCAGAGGCGGGGGGGAAGAGCGAGGGGAGGCGGCAGCGGGGCCCGGCCCCAGCCCGGCCATCAGCTCCTGGTACCACTGCTCTAAGTCTACAGCGGGGAGCAGCAGCTTCTCCATCTGGAGGGGGCGTGGGGGAGGAGGACAGGGGACGGGAGGGCAAGGATGGAGAGAAAGAGGTCAGGAAATCAAGAAACAAGGGGAGCGGAGGGAGGAGGAAGGAAAGGGTGAAGAAAGGGTGAGGTTGGAGGACGGGTCAAGGCAGGCCATTATCGGGGAGACAGGAGGGGAAGGGAAACGGGGAGGACGGGAGAAAGGAGAGCATAAAGAGAAGAAAACACAGTGAGAACACAGTTGCCATGAACGCGCTAAAGGCAAAGAGAAATAGGGCACAGATCCCAGACCACAGGCACGGACTACGCCAACCACGAGGCCAGCCGGCCGCAGCCCGCCCGGCACACAGCGCTCCCCTGGGGCCGGCCGCGGATGGCGGCACCATGGTGTGGGGGGGAAGCACACACAGACAGAGCCACGCCGCGAGTGGGCTGCACGGGCGGCGGGGGCAGAGACCACCAACCTGGGGCGAAGGCGTGACAGAAGCGAAGGAGGAGGAAGAGGGCAGCGCGAGAGGAAGGCAGGAGGTGGGAACCAGGTCCTGGGAGGCAGGGGCCCAGGGAGGCAGGCCCGGCGCGGGGGCCGTGGGCACCAGGGAGCTGCCCCACATCGCCTTTAGCTGCTCAAGCGTCACGTACTTGGGGAAAGGCCGGACACGGGAGGGAATACAAGAGGTTAATGGGACTGGAACCCAAGAAATGGCCCTGCCCAAGGGTAGGAGCCGGGGAGGCCTGCAGAGCCCGGGAAAGCCAGGGTCCTCTCAGCAGGAGGCCCTCACGCTGGAGCAGAAGGCCTTCCCTCCTTGAGCCCTCAGGGGCTGAGAACGCAAGAGCGGGAACCGCTCCCAGCTCCCCTTACGCCAGGGGCCCTTCTCCGTCACTGCTGAACAGACCCTGCTGCCCACCCCCTGCCCCACACCCCGGGGCGATGCAGGGCACCCACGAGCAGGCCCGCGGGCACAGGTGGGCTCACTCGGTGGCCGGTACCTCACTGTCGGGCAGGGGCTGAGCGAGTGCGCTGGGGGAAGTGGCAGAAGCATAGGGGTCCAAGCGGGAGCACAGGTGGAGAACCTCTGCCAGGCTCACATACTCCTAGGGCGCCCAGTGCGAGGGGGGGGACGGGCAGAGAACAGGTTAACAGGACTCCACCAGGCACCGGCTACCACACTTCACGCCATTCAACACAAAATCCAAGGCAGGGGTGGGGAGCTCGCTGCGGCCACAGAGGGCTGTCAGGGGGGCTGGAGGGAGGGCAGAAAAGGGCAGGCAGAACTATCTGAAGGCTTTTTTTTTGGCCACACTGCACAGCTTGTGGGATATTAGTTCCCCAACCAGGGATTGAACCCATGGCCTCAGCAGCGAGAGTCCTGACCACTGGGACTTCCAGGGAAGGCTCTTCTTGACCTCCACTTATGAGGCTGCCCTGATATCCAGCCAGCTGCAGGGCCTGGATAGGCCCTGAATGGGCCCCCTGATCGCCCATTCCTGGGTTTGCCCTTGGCGAGGGGCAGGTGAAGAAGTCATGAGCCCACCAGGGATCAGGACCCAGCTCCCAGAGAACCCTTCTGTCTCCAACACCTTGGGCATCCCCCATGGGGCACACACATGCACTACTGAGCACCAGCCACACCATTCCCGTGGGTCCTCTCACACCCCACCTGCTGGAGCTCCAGGAGCTGGAAGGGTGGGGGGTGGAGGCACTACGAGCACCTGAGCAAGGTGGATCCTGAGAAACAGACCTGAGCAGGGAGCGGCTAAAAGCCCAGGCAGATAAACATGCCCACTGCCCAAAGGTTAGAACTTGGAAAGATGCTCACACAGTAGATCGTGGGTTGGAAAGACAGGCACTGTCATATTCCCTGAGCATATCCTTAGAATCCTGAGTTTGTCCAGGTCTGGAGGACACAGCAGGCACCCAAAATGCATGCGGAATCAAAGCCCAGGACCCTAAGCCTGCCCCACCCAGGGGAGCCCACCCTGGTCTAGCTCCAGAGGCAGACTGTCCTCCAGAGGTCACAGAACAGGGAAATGAGCTGGAAGGTCCAGTGTGTTGTGGGAACTGATGAATGGCATGCAGAATATATGCAAATTGATATGCAAATTGACACTCTGACTTTTGCATGAGCTGCCCAGCCACCTATGGAACCACTGGCCAGACAAAGGATTACTGCCACTTGCCCTACAGCCGGGCCGGTGGGAGGAGTCGAGGGCAGAAGCTCATCAAGCAGGCAGACAGGCAGTGATCTGTGATTACCTCTTGCGCTTTGAGGCAGAGCTGAGTGGAAGCAGGTGGGGTTAAGGGAACAGAGAAGGCCCCAGCCTGAGAAGACTCTGGGAAGGGACCCACAGCTGCCATCCCCAGCCCCACCTCTGAGGACTCAGAGATGAGCAGGTCAGCCTACAGAGAGGGTACAGGTGAGGGGCCTCATCCCTCACACTCAGCCCAGCCACCCCACCTGAGGCCTAACTTGCTTGTGCAGTGAGGCAGAAAACCGGGCATGTCCTGGTGGGACCTCACATGCCAGGCGTGCAAAGACTCAGGGAAGAATGGCTGAAGGAGCCTCAATGCCCACATCTGCGCCCACAGCCCAGCTCTAGACAGAAGCCCAGGGAGCTCCAAGATCAGGACCCCGAGATCCCTACACTCCCCCTCAAGTTGGGTCTGCCCGGCCCCATCCTGAGCGGCCATCTTACCCACCCGAAATGTTAAGATCAGCAGGCTCCTGGGAGCCAGAGAGGAAGCTGAAAAGCAGCCAGCTGGTAGCCATGGAGGATCTGATCCCAGACCTCAGGGCCATTCCTGCTACATCTTTCCAGTTCAGGAAAGTGTCCCTACACTAGACCTCAGCTACTGGGGCGAAGGTGCCACATGTTTCTCCAGAGCCTCCCAGGAGACCCTTGGGCTCATGAGGCTAGGGCTGACCCAACCACGTTACCTCTTTGAGGGTGGATGTGGTCTTTGGGAAAGGCCGGCCACCTGTGAGCGAGTGGTATCTTCTTTCCAGCATAGCCAGTTTCTCCTTCTCCTGCAAGTCCAAAGCGGCAGAATCAGGAGTGGGAATGAAGCAAGGAGCCCCAAATAAAGGGGGATCCCACAGGGTTGGCCAGTCTCCACCCCTCACCCTGCACTCACCTCCCACTCCCCCAGCCCCTCCCTGGCCCTCCTCCCCCCCTCACTCCCAGACCGATGGGGCTACCTTCTGCAGCAGCTGCAGGGCGGCATTCTTATCCCGGGCAAGGCGTTCCGACTCCTGCACAGCCTGGGACCGGATCTGCCCAGCCTGACTGTCCAGGACCGCCAGGCGCTCCTAGAGAGGATGGGAACAATGGGTGAGGCAGCCCAAGGTGAGGCCTGGCTGTCTCTCCTGCCCAGAGGCCCTGGGCTTGGGTGAAGGGAATCAACCAGCACTTCCGCTCAGCCTCTCACCCCCGGAAAATGCAGGCTGCTGTGGTCAGCTCCTTCTCTCACCCCTCAACCAGGGAGCCCTGGGCCACCAGGCACACCAGCCAGAACTGAAGTTCCCAAACCCCTCATGCCCCCACCCCCCAAAGTCAACAGGTCCTGAATCCTGGAAATGCTGAATGGTCCTCCACCCGACCCCGTGCCCTCAACCCACTGGCACCATGCCAAGCCAGGCCCTCTGCTTTCCCGGCCTCGACCTTTCACCAGCCCCTTGTTTCCACTCTCTCACCTTTCTGATCCACCCTACACTGCCACAAACAGCTTCCTAAAATGGCCTTTGAAAGGGTTTGCTTGTTTGCTTGTCTGAATTTCCTAGACTTTTGGGAATGTATATTGTGTGTTAGTTGCTCAGTCGTGTCCAACTCTTTGCGACCCCATGGACTGTAGCCCGCCAGGCTCCTCTGTCCATGGAATTCTCCAGGCAAGAATAATGGAGTGGGTTTCCAGCCCCTTCTCCAGGGGATCTTCCTGACCCAGGAATCGAACCTGTATCTCCTGCCTTGTAGGCAGATTCTTTATGTCTGAGTCACCAGGAAAGCCCAGAATGTATATTACTTGAATAATTTTCTTTAAATCCATGAATAAGGGTAGATCACGCTTCTCAAAATCTTTCAGCGACTCCTCACTACTCACAGGATAAAGCACAAACCCCTCAGCCAGCACTCAAGGGCTCCTGGACCTGGACCTACTTTCCAGCCTCCCTCCCACCCTGAGCCTTTGGCGTGCCCTCAGCTTGGCCCTGTTGTACCATCAGCTGTTCGGGTGTACACTCCCGGGCCTTTCTTATACAGTGCCTTTTGCCAGGAATGCTGTCCTGTCTTCTCTACCAATCAGGAGCTTACTTCTCCTCTAAGACCAAACCTAACACTATCTTCTCTCCAACATCTCCCCTGATTATCATTCAATTTCTTTGCTCCTTGTTCTATGCTCAAATTATTCCCTATCACTCTTTGCCTTGGATTACTGCTACCTATGAATATATATCTCTCAACACCACCAGCTGTATGATCCCACCCCAGCTGTATGATCCAAGGACAGGCTCTATGTCTTTTCTGTCTCCATATCCCCAACAGGACTTAGTGTAGTGCCTGGCTCAACAATCGAGTGCTAAAAGGGAATGAAAAGATACTAAGTGAGAGAGAAGGATGGGGGCTAGTGGAAATGAGCTGTGTTTATCCCAGGAGGTCTTCCTGAAAGAGGAGGCCTTAAACTAGCACCATTAAGAGCAAGATATAGGAGAGAAGGGAGGGAAGAAGGGAGCTGTACTAAATCTGGGGTCAGTCCAAGCAGACTGAAGCAGACCAAGTGGTAATCGGGCAAGATCCGCCATTTACAGAGAACCTGTCAGGACCCAAGAACACTGCTAAATGCTTTGCTTTGCATGTGTTACTTCACTTAACTCTCTTATGAGGCAGGTGCCCTTATGCTCATTTCACTGATAGGTAAATGTATTTGTAAAGCAGAGCAGCTCAGGGAGAGAAGCAACAGATCTGGATTCAAGGGGAAGTTCAGTGACTCCCCCACTTACCACTAAACTCAGCCTAGCCATCAAGCCCCACTTTTTGACACCCTTCTCCAGTCTCACTGCATTCACCTCCCACCTACTCCTTCCAGCCTGGCAAAGTGCACATGCACACATATGTATGCAAACACACCTGGTCCACCCGATCCCTTCTCCTCACCCGCATCTTCCTAACCCTTGCTTAATACATCCTCACCCCATCACCGTGTCCCGGTCTTGTTGAGATCAGGAGTGGATTTTATAACATCTGAAGCATCAGACTAGACCAGAATAGATGCAATACCCAATCCTCTTGTTTCACAGCTCAGCTGAGCCAGGTCTGAGCTGTGGCTGGAACCAAAGTGATGCCTTTCTAGGACCCCAGGCTGGCTCTAATATCCAGATCTCAGGTCTGTGTCCCAGCACTTCCATCGGACGGAGAGCTCCACAAGGGGCAAGCCTCCTCTTCACCCCCCTCCTCCTCGTCCTCCATCTCCATCTCTCACTTCCCGGCCCAGCCAGTGCCCAGCTCCGAATGTGAGCCCCATCCACTTTCCACTAGAGGACCGGGGTGTCACAGCTTCTAAACAATGGCTATTGTTCCTCCAGAGCTTACTATGATCACATCCTATGCTGTTTCCACATACATCATCTCCTTTAATGCTCACAACAGCCTGTTACTGTTCCTGTTTTACAGATGAAGAGACCGAGGCTCAGCCAGGTGAGGTCAAGCCGGCACTGCCAGGGATGGGGCGGGCGCACCTTCCTCTTGGCGATGCTACGGAGCAGTTCTGCCTTGCTCCGGAGCAGCCCCTGGCCCGCCAGCTCGCGCTCCTCCTCCACGCGGCTCTCCCGCTCCAGCTGCTGGAACTCCAAGTCCTCGAAGAGCTTCGTCTCCGTCTCCAGGGCCTCGGCTTCCTTGAATGACAGTGACAAAGGGGGTCGGGTGGTGCTCACGATCCCACTCTGCGCCTGGAAGGCCAGGCCACAGAGGCGAGAGCTCTGGGGGCCGGACCCGGGGAAACGGAGGAGGGGCCCTGCCCCCACCCTGCCCCCTTTCCTCCGCTTGGCCCTGCTGCTTTCCCGGGCAGCGCGGCCTGCAGCAGCAGAAAGGAGAACCTCCATCCCCAAACCCCCCATCCTTCCCTGTCCCCTCCAAGCCACAGCACCGACCCTGGCGTCCGGCAGGTACTGCAGGGCCCGGGCGCTCCCGGCCCACCGCTCCTCTCTTCCGGGCGGGCGGCCCTCGGGGGCGGGGAGGGGGGCTGGTGAAACTGACCCTTCTCAGCTGCTCCAGTAACTGTTCCCGCACTGACTCGGGGCAGTTATCGAGCTGCGTCTGGAGCTCGGCGTAGAGCGCCTGGCGGGCCTCCAGGTGCCTCCGTCCCGCGGCCAGCTCCGCCCTCTCCTGGTCGCCGGAGGCGGAGGGGGCGGGCACAGGGGAGAAACAGAACACACACTCCTCAACTCCGGCCCGGGGCCGCGGCGGCGCGGGGCGCGGGGCGCGCGGGCGGGAGCAGAGCCGGCGAGGGTACAAGCAGCAGGGCCGAAGAGGGCCGGAGAGAGCCAAGAGGAGGAGGAGGAGGAGGAGGAGGTGCCGACTGGGGAAGGCGAGGAGCCGGGGTGCGAGACGGGACTCAGGTGCAGGCAACGGTGGCCGAAGCAAGGGTGTGGGTCCGGGCAGAAATGTTGGTCTCTTGGAGTCCCCTCACTAGAGAGGTTTGGGGAGTGGGTCCTACGAAGAGGCCCTCTCTTTTCTCTCCAAACCGCTCAAAGCCAAAGCTGGTTCCACATCACAAACCGGGAGCCTCCAGCTCCTGCGCCCCCCACCCCCACTCCTTCTCCCACTTCCCAGAGACCAAAATTTAGCCCTGGAAAAAAAGGGTAGAATTGGTGAAGGTTAAATCCGGGGGTTGGGTGTGAATTGCGAGCCGAGGATGTTAAAGCTAGGGCGGTGCAGCGGAGGGGACCCCAACCCAACCCCCTCGGCCTCCCCCACTCCTGCCCAGGGCGGGGGTAGGGTGCTGGCACTGCAGCCTGAACTTCAGCAGGATAAAGGTTGCAATTAGTTCGGCCGTCGCCATGGTAATAGGAGCCCCAGGAGTGGGTACAGAGAGGAGGTGGATGGCTCTGTCTGGGGTGAGATGACACCTCTGAGGGCGGGAAGGGGGATGAAGGGGGGTCTGGTGAGTCACCCCCTCTGAAGGTCAGGCAGAGGAGAGACTGTGATTACAGATTCCAAAGCCAGAGTGGGGCGAAGGGCTGGGGCGGGGGCGGGGCGGGGCGGGGAGGGGGTGCTGCTGAGGGAACCTTCCCCATTGCCATCACATGGCCACCACCATCTATCTCCATCACCACCACCACCTCAATAATTGGGCCCAGAGAGAAGACAAAGTCCACACCTGCAGGCAATGCCAGTGCAATGAGAAATGAGGCTAGGCAGGTTCCTGCTAAAATGCTGAGCATCACCCCGGAGTCCTCATGTTTCCTCTACCCACCCCTCCGTCCCATTAGGTCCCCATCCCCATCCAGGAGAGGGGGACATGATCAGGCCAGTTTCTGAGATCCAAGCACTTCCCCAGGCTTGGACTCAGCCTACGATGCCCTATAGGGAAGAGGCCTACCCCTTCTTCCCACCCTCTGGTTGGAGTATCTGCAATTGGGAAGCCCCAGAGGAAAACTGAGAAGGGTAGCCACTGGGTGGCAGAGAGCCCTTGTCCACGCCCTCCCCGGCCATGCCACCACCACTGACCTCCTTACCCCTGTGCTCAGGAGGGAAGGCAGATGATGGCTGGAGCTCAGGCTGCCTCTCCCCTGTGCAGGAAATTGCCAACAAGCTATGGAGGCCACACCCTGGCTTTTCCAAATGAGAGGAGGCCTTCAGGCTGAGAGGCTCCTCAGCCAAGCCAACCTCCCCCAATCTTGAACCCCTCCTGCCAATGCCCCCTTGAGAAAATTCAGCTGCACCCGCTGTCCGTTCCTTTCTGATCAAAACCCTGGGGTCCCACACCAAGAAAGGAAGGAGGCAACATTAGACGGGAGAGGCCAAGGGCACACAGGTGCCCATGGAGTTAGTGCAAAAGCAGGCACGGCTCAGCCCTGCCTGGGTGGGTGGTACTGGCAGTTAGGGGCATGCGGAGAGCCCAGGACAGTGATTAGAGAGGGCGTTAGTGCAGGCCTGGTTGGTAAGCGTGGAGTTAATTTGGCACAGAATTTGGGAGTGTGGTTTTGGGGGCCAGAGCCAAAGCTCAAAAAATAAAAAAATTAAAAAAGGATGGGCGGGTCAAATAATTTTTAAGAGCTTCAAAATTGAGGGGCAGGAGGAAGACACTCTCCAAAAAATCCAGAAGGAAAATTTAATTCTTGGAAAAATACTGTCAAGTCCAGAAAGAGGTGGCCCCTCTCCACTTCGGAGCTTTGGTACGTTGTTGGGCATCTTGGGAGTGGCTGGTATGGCCCCTGTGGGATGGAGCGGCCCCTGCAGGCTGGCAGGAAATCTGAAAGGGGCAGGGGCAGGAGCTGGGACCCCCTGGGATGGGAGGCTGCAGATCCTGAAGGCTCAGGGAAGCAGAGACTCGAGAGCCATCTCCCAAAGTTCACATCCTTAGTCCCAGAGCCCTGCTTGGAGGGGATGTCCTCCAATGCAGGGACTGGACCTGAATCACTCCCCAGCACCGGTCCCCTGGGCAGTGCTCACCACCCAAGAAGGGGCTTCGACACTTCCAAGAAGGGGCACGGAGGGCCCAGAACAGCAGGCACCCAGGCACCCAGAGGGAGAACAGAAACCCAGGCAGAGGAGACCCCAGACACCAGCCCAGACCCTGGCAGCACCCTCCACGTTGGTACTTTCCACCAAGGACAAGGCCCCCTGCCCCTGTGGGATGGACGATGAGGTAAGGGGTAAAGGGCACTTCTCCTCTCCCAGGCCGCTGGCTCCCAGCAGAGCTGGGCCAGGTTGTGGGTTACCTTGTCCCTCTCCTTCTGGATGCTCGTCTCCAAGGTCATCAGCTTCTCCTGTAGCTGGTCCACCGCCTTCTGCTCTTTCTGCAGCAGTGCCCGCTCAGCCTCCCTCTCCCCCTGCAGCAGCGCCCGCTCCATTTCAGCCTGCAGGCCACAGCAGGGTCCATGTCAAGGCCACTCAGGGCAGCTCAGGCCACGCTTGGGGTGATCACCAAGCCTGGGAGGAGTCCTGCCCAGGGCCCTTGCTCTCACCTCTCGGGCCGACTCCTGCAGCTGCTGTTCCAGCTCCTTCACCCGGACTTTGAGCTGCTCTATTCTCCCCAGCACCTGAGCCCGCTCCTCTTCCAGGGCCAGCACCTCTCCCTGGAGCTTGGCGCCGGGGGCATCCTCGTGCTGGAGGGGAGGGGGGCCATCAGCTTGGGGGAGCCTAGAGCCTCCCAGGGTGAGACTAAGAAAATGGATCGCTGTGTCTCAGGACACTCAGAAGGAGCAGCTGGACTGAGAGGAGGAAATTCCCCTCCCTACACGGAGAGCAATACGGCTCTAGGCTGCAAGGAATAACGACTCACTGTCGAGAGCCAGGCCTGGGTGGGGCCCTGAGGAAAAGGTAGGTCATAAAGCATATTTATAGCTTGGGAAACTCATCAGCACCTCCCCCTGTTCCTTGCCTCCTCATTTCTACACCTCTCATTCCTGGGTGTCCCAAACTTCTGTTACTGCCCACTCGCAGGGCGAGGTACCCACCCATGCCTGCCCGCTTGGCCCCGGCCCTGGCCCCGCGCCCGGCCGGCTGGCTCCCACCTCCTGCTGGGTGCTCTCAGTGCTACTGCATTCCTCCTTGAGATTCTCCTCGTCCGAGCGCTCCACACTCTCCCACAGGCGCTGGGCGGCACCTCCAGGCTCCTCGCTGCCGCGGCCTGGGGCCCCAGGGCCCACCGCGAGGCCTCGTGAGGGCCTCCGGCTGGCCAGGGCCAGGGCTGCGGCTGCCTCCCCTATGCTGGGCAGCTCCCCGGCCTCGGGTTCCCCATCCGCCCGGCTGTACTCGGCGCACAGGTTCAGGATGGTCTCCAGGCGCTGGCGTTCCTGGAAGGGCGGGCAGAGCAGGCGTGAGCAGACGGTCCTGGGGCCAGGAGGCTGCCTAGACCCAGGTCTGGCACCTTGTCAGGAGCAAGGACGCGGACGCCAGGGGCTCGGACTCAGAATCAAGTCAGGAGGGCCCTGGCCCCAAGGTCTGGGGAGGCAGACAGAGGGAGGGCGGGTGCCCCCGAGGCAGGCGGGGGGGAGCCAGGCTGTGTGCCCCCTGCCCAGGTGACCAGCACCTCCTGCCTTCCTGTCTCCTCTCCCTTCTCATCTTGTCCCAAGGTGGGTGTCCCCGTGGACAGAGAGACACACTCAGGAGCGCACGCTGGTGAGCACGTTCTCATTAAAGGCCACGGTGAGAATACAGATAAACACTTCAGGTGCTCACGCTGACACGGGGACCCCCAGAGACACCCCAGCACAGCAGCACTGACACACGAGGACACAGCACGAGCCCTGGCCAGCAGTAACAGGCAGGCACACACAGACACCAGCCCTGACACGCACGGACGCACACTGGCACACACTTACTCGGATAAACACAGCCTAGCACACAGACGGGTGGGCGCCCACACAGACGGGGCCGGAACACAGACTCAGGGGCCCACGGCGACCTGACACCGGCTCACCCTGCCCCAGAGGCCTGAGCCGCGGTCCTCACTCCCGTCTCACCTCCCCGTCACCTGCTGGCAGCTCTCAGCTCTCCGCCGGCACAGCAGGTCCCTGGCCCAGCCACTCCATCCGCCCCGTCCCTGTACAGAGCCCACCCAGACACCTCCCAGGGGCCTTGGAGGTGAAGACAGGACAGTACAGGCATGCCCCGGCTCCCACTCATTACACCCCAGATGTGGAGCCTCCCCCCCAGGCTCCCTTGACTCCCTGGCATCCCACCACCTCTGGTGTCTCTCACCACGGTTTGGTCAGGACCCCCCACCCCCAGGCTCTTACCCAGCTTCCTTCCTGCTGCTTGCCCAGTTCCATGGCGCCAAAACCAGGAACAGAGTCTCAGCACCCAGGAGGCTGGGCCAGTGCCCCCGCCCCTGCCCCAGGACACAGATAAGCAGCCTGGTTGAGGTGGGAGGAGCAGGGCAGGCAGCCTCTGAGATTTAAAGTGGCAGGTGGGGCAGGTCAGGGCTGGTGAGGCATCTGGGGGTGGGGTGGGGGCGGTGGTGGGAAGGCTGAGTGGAGTTGAGGGAGGCTGGGGCCACCACTCTGCCTGCGCCAGGTTCATTGTCCCCCCCTCCAGGATGAGACCCCAGGGCGGGCCAAGCATTCTTGTCTAGGCCAAAGCAAAAACATAGAAGATACAGCTGTGGAAGAGACTGGGGGGCCCTGCCTCGTCCTTCCCCAACCCCCCCCAATACACACACACTGTCTCACACCCTCACCTCACCCAAAGCTGTCCCAGCCTCCTCCTTCCAAAAGGGCTCCAGACAAACCTCCTCTGTTCTGACTCTCCTCCTTAAACCAATCCTTGGGTCCCAGGGCCCCCAGGGACCCTGCTTTCCTGCTCACAAGGGAAAGAGGCAGAAGCTATTTCCCTGTGCATGTGCTCCAGGGTATAGACACCAGCCAGAGCCCCCAAGCTCCCTGCGCTATCTGGGGAATCCCAGCCCCCACCCAGCTCAGATGCCATCTCCAGGACAGCTGCCCAGAGCCACACCCGGCCCCCAAATACACCCATGCGTGCATGTGTGTGCGCATGCACACACACACAATTACTATCACACAGGCTGGTCACGGATCAGCCGGGGCTGCCTGTCGTGTTTTCTCCTTCTCCCCCCATCTCCAGATGATCCTGCATAGGCCAAGGTGAGCAGCTCCCACCCATTGAGAGAGGCCAAAGAGAAACAAATGGCAACCCACTCCAGTATTTTTGCCTGGAAAATTCCATGGACAGGTAGTCTGACGGGCTACAGTCCATGGGGTCATAAAGAGTCAGACCTGACTGAGTGACTAAACAACCACAACAACAAAGGGAAGCAAGAAAGAAGGACCAGAGGCTTTTTTAAAGAAAAGCCTGGAGAAGACAGGAGAGAAAGACAGGAAGTATGAGTTCAAGTCCAGTTCTGCCAGGATGTGCTGTGTGACCTTGAACAAATCCACTCCCCTCTCTGGGCTTCAACCTTCTAATCATTAAGCCCTGTGTTCTCAAACACAGGTACAAGCCTCATCCTAAACATGGTGTGTTTTCCTAGAGCTTCCCTGTATTCCAATAAATCATGTGAAATGTTAATTTATACATGAAAACAAACACTGTTACAGAATAAATGCAAAGTTAGCATGCATTTGAAATAAGGCCTTAGAGACTTCAAAGGAAGGGCTTCAGGGGACCAGAGCCTTGGCATCCAGGTCACTGTGGTGTACCCTGGAAGTGGAGAAGCCTGGGAAGCCCAGACTCTGTCCACGCGCCCCTCCCTCCTTGCCAGCTGGCCCGCCCACACCCTGGCAGAGCGCCTGTCGTGATGCCCGCAGCCTCCCTGGCATGGCTCACCAGCCTCTCCATCTCCTGCTCCCGAAGCCGCTCTTGGCGCTGCCGCCGGTGGTACTCCAGGAGGTCATCCTCATTGTCACTGATCTCCGTGATGCTGTTTTTCCGCTCCCGGGTGACGGGCACCCGCAGGTCCCCGCTGGAGAGCTTCCTCTGGGCGCGGGGGCTCTGGCGGGGTGAAGCCCCTGTCAAGGAGCCCAGACTGTAAGCTGGGCTCAGTCTGCCACTGAAGCTGCCCTTGCGGGGTGCTAGGGACTCCCCGAGTGTGGGAGAGGGGCTCCGTGTCCTACGGCCCCGGGCCCCCAGTGTCAGGGAGAAGTCCTCCGGCGAAGCCCCGTGGGCTGCCCAGCGCCGGGAGCGGGGGCTGTCTGCCACGTCCCTGGTTAGCTTGGGATCTGGGGCGGTCCGGGCAGGCATGGGGGAGAGCGCCCTGCGGGACAGAGATGGGCTCAAGGGAGGCAGTTCTCTCATGCTGTCCAGGCCCCGCCGGCCAAGACGGGGGCTCTCTGGAGGCTGCAGTGTGCGGGTGGCTGAGCCATCCGAAAATGTTCGGCCCACCAGCTGGCGTGAGGGGCTGGTGGTCAGCACCCGCTCAGCGCCTGGCGGCTCCCGGAAAGGGCTGGGAGGGCGGTCCTGGAGCGTGCCAATCTTGTTTCGGGGTGCAGGGACTGGCGGCTGGAACTTGGGGCTGCCGGGAATGCTGGTGGGCGGGCCCCGGGCACTGGAAGCAGGGTATTCACTCAGGCTGATCGCCACCACGGGCAGCTGCCCACCCGGCCAGGGGCTCTCGGTGGCTCTGCGGGCCTCAGCCAGGACGGTAGCTGCAGGGCTGTCTGTCAGCAGACCTCGGAGACCAGGGCTGGGAGGCCTCTCGTGACCCCCCTTCCTGCCCAGCCGGGGGCTCTCGGAGGGGTGAGCACCGCTCGGTCGGGACTGTGGGGGCTGCAGGGCCAGATGGTAGCTGGAGGACCGGGCGGGCACCAGGGGGGGCAGGGAAGGTGCTGGTTCCTGCCCGCTGGGTGAGTGGCTGGCACAGCTCCCACTGCTGGCTGGCGAGGAGAGTGGAGAGAAGGCCGGAGAGGTGTTCTCATAGCTGGAGCCCACAGACATGGCGCCGGGGCTGGTTGGGGGGGACAGCAGGTAGCGCCCGCCATTGGCCATTGGTGACAGTGGAGATGTGGCGGCAGGCTTCTTGCCAGCAGCTCCAGGCTCCTCTAGCACCAGTGAGTCCATGATTTCCTGCAGGTCCTTCTCAATAGAGCTCACCAGGGAACTGTGGCTGCCACAGGCGGAGGGTCCCCGGATTGCAGGCTGAGGGGTGTGGTTCCCGTTGACCAGGCTTTCGGATTCTGTGAAGGGAAATGCAAACAGCCTCAGGCCCCATCTTCACCTCCTGGGCCCTAGGGACCTGCATATACACAAGAGCCGGCACTCCCCACCTCCTGCTAGGAGGGCGGGGCTGCCAGGGCCCTGGAAGGTCTCAGTCCTGGGGCCAGCTCTGCCACTGATCTGCTGCTGCACCACCTTCCCCAAGTCGCCTGCTTTTGGTTTTGCCTTCTGCATAGGAAGAATGCTCCTCTGGCTCTAATATTTTATGACTTAGGGCAGAGCTGGCAACAGTGCTGGGCACTTCTAGGTTCCTCCCTGCCTTGGTTTCCCCAACCTCCTTGACCTCTCCTTCAGAAAGGGCAGGCACGCATTTTACAAAGAGCAGGGGGGCATGCTGGGGAGCAGGCCAGAAGTTCCAAGGGGTCGCCGTTTATTAGGACATTAGCGCCTCCCAACACGCAGCAGAGACCCAGGAAAAAAAACACACACATAGCCTCCAGGGCTGGGTGACACTGCGTGCAGCAGCACTTTATCCAATCAGAGGCAAGGGAGGGGCCTGGCCCTGAAGGCCAGTTCCTGAAAGCCAGGCTGGCTAGCAACTAGGTGCAGCTCAGGGCCTCCAATTAGACCATTAAGCCACGCCAGCAGGAGCCTGCTTTTGCCCTGCCCCAGCCCTCGTCAACCAACCAGGAGTCTCTGGAACCACTGCCCCAAACAGCTGAGAGAGTGGCATGACAATTTAAGGCAGGGTAGAGCTACCCAGGGAGTGGACTGGAAACCCAGGCTTCTGAGCTCCCAAGAGCCTAGTATACAGGAGGCAGAGGAGAAGGGAAAGCCTCTGTAAGCCTGAGTCTGGTCCAAAATTATGGGGACTGTGTGGGACCAAGGCAGAGGGGTTGCCATGGATACTGGTGATCCCAGTGACCACCCATCTTTCCTCAGATCCCCAGGCAATCCATTGAAACCACTGATGCCAGCCCACTCGATGCACCTGACACACACGTCCACCTGTCCCAGTACCATGATGACCACTGTCACCCTACAGCCATCTGAATGCCTGTGCAAAGTCTGGGGTGGCAGGCCTATGGGCAGCCTCCTGGTCTGCACCCCACCCCCAAGGCAGCTGGGCTGAGGTGGGGGCTGTGCTGGTTCCCTGGGACAATCACCCACTCTCCTCTAGGGATCAGTAATTCACACACAAAGTGCAGCTGCCCCACTGAGTCATCAGCTGGCATGGCCTGGCATGGCCTGGGGGCAGGGCAGAGCCCAAAGACACAATCACAAGCAGGTGGGCTCCCCCCGCCTCGAGCTTACAGCATCTCAGTCTGATGCTTCCTTCTGCCCCCTCAGGCCACCCTCAAGGGTGAGGATCCCTGGTGGTGACATAAGAGGGTCAGGGTCCCGGACATTGAGGTGGCACCATCCAGGGCAGTGGGACACAGGCTGGCAGAGCACCCCCATCCCTCAGGCACATGATTCTCCCTAGTTCCAGCCAAGCAGCACTTCTTGGATCTCTCCCCGTGGCCAGACTGCCTGGCACTCTCCCCCAGTGGCCCATGGCAGGTGGCAGCAAGCCCAGATCATGAGTATTGTCCCACCCTGACACTATAAGTATGGCTGGAGTGGGCAAGGGGGAGGACTGTCCACGGGGTGCCATCAAACCAGCCACCTGCCCCAACTGGGTACCCACCTGGGCCAGGACCGTAGTGGGGGCCAGGGGCCCGGCCCCCTGCCGGGATCATGCTCTTCATCCACTTGGCTTCAGCTGGGTGGTTAAAGCGGAGGAAGGTGGACTGACCCAGGCACAACATGCAGCCTGCAGAGAAAGCACACGTTCAGAGGGGCAGGGCAGAGCAGGGCTGAGGCAGCCTTCCACCCGCAGCACCGGCAGGCTCATCCCAGGCTCCGAAGAGCCATCCCCACCTGCACTCCCAGCGGCCACATGGTCCACCCCTGACTCAGCCCGTGCCTGAGGCCCCAGCTCGGCTCCACAGCACATGGCCCCATAGCACATGGCCGAATGGAAAGAGCACTGGCTTGTAAATCCTAGTCCTAAATGTTCTTCATTACCACCTGTGAGATCTGGGGAAAGTCATTTCACCTCCCTGAGTCTAATTCTCTCAGCAGAAAAATGAGGACAATACCACTGCCTTGCAGAGTTAAAAGAGACAGTGTATGCCAGTACTCTGTCAATGGAGAAGGTTCTCCAGAGAACACAGACCCCCACGTGCCCCCACCCAACCTGGACTCGTGATCCATCTATCTGCCCCTTGGGTGGAAGGGTCAGTTCGAGAGGCAGCAAATTCCAGGATCACAAACAAGCTCTGAGATAGGAGATGGGGAAACACACCATGGATCCGTCAGATGCCCCGGCCACCCTTTCTGACCGTCGAGAGCGACTGCTACCCTCTTTCTCTCTGTCGAAGCATTCTGTGGCCTGACATTGTCCCACTCCATGGACTCTCCTGCAGTGTAGCCAAGCCTAGGCCAATGGGCCGAGCCTCAGTCAAGCACATTCCCAGGCAGTAGACACAAGCCCAGTCCTGCCCAGGAAGTGTGAGTGCACAGAAGGGGGAGGGCATAGGGGAGTCAGAAAACATAGCCAGGGGCACTGGGAGTGTGCGCGGCGACAGGTGTGCCCACAGCACCTAAGCCTGTCTGGCAGAATTCCTCTTCCCGCCACACCAGGGGCTGGAGCGAAGAAGATGCTCTATTGGGAGAAACCAGAGTCCTGTGCTCTCTACCACCCACCCTTCCAATCTGTCCACATCCTTGGCCCCTGGCCCCAGGCTCCTGTCTACCCAATCTGCTGCCACCTGGCACCCCAAGCTTCATGCCAGTCTGAGCTAAGACTGGCAAGGAATTCTACATTCCTGGACGCTGAGACAGTTCAACTCAGGCAGGCCACAGGGGCATGGGGCATCCCGGGCCACGTGGGGTACCTTGGCGGGCCCCCCACTGAGAAGCTCAGCAGTCTGTTGGGGGGGCACCCTGGGTATTGCCACGGATGGGGGGCTGGCAGTCTGAGAAGCCCACAGCAGATAACATAGTAGACAAAACCACCCACTACATTGGTATACCCACAGGCCCTCCCAGGCAGGCGGGCACAAACAATTCTAAAGGCTGATGGGTGGTTAGGAAAGGAGGGAGCCTTCCCTGCCAAGCCACCAATCAGAGGAGCTGATCACAGAGTAATTATAACCGGAATAAATATTAGCCAGCCACACCGTCCACCTAATTACAACCACAGCTGTTTCAGACAGAACCCTGCCATTCCCATCCCCCTCCTTCCAGCCATTTAACAAGCTAATTAATGATGAGTTCGCAGGGTCTAGACAGACCTACTCAACCCTAGGTTGACTGGGGGGGGGGGGGGGCAGAGGGGGACAGCTCAGGAGCCTGACCACACAGTCCAGACTGGGAAGGACTGGGGAGTCTGGGTAGATTCCAGCCCATCAGCGCCAGGCCCACCCAAGGAGGCTGTAGGCAGGTAGGGACCCTCAGCTCTGGCTCCTCTAGCTGTGAGCCCCCTGTCCCCTCCTCTGCCCCTCACCCTCCTCTATACAAGGGGTGTGGCCATGCTGCCTCCCCGGCTATAAATAGGTGATGCCAGGCAGCAGAGCTGGGTCTGTATTAATAGAGCGGGCAGGAGGGCAGCAGGACTGATTGTAGCCCAGCTCCTGCCCAAATTAACTTTCTATTTGCACTCAGGGGCCCCAGGCATTGCCCCTACTCTTGTCCCGTGCCTCCAGGGGCCTGGCCAGCCTGTTTCTGGGAAGAAACCTCCTCTCTGCTCACTCCTGCCCCCGCACCGCCAAAGGTCAGCCCACGCAGGAAACCCCAGAACCCCTCCTCATCCAAGCAAAGTTGCGTTCCTGTCCCCCCTCCCCAAAGGGGCTCAAGGCCCAGCTGTGTGCAGGTGGGTAAAGGAGCTGCACATCTGGAGGGGAAAAAACGGGGCCAAGGAGAGGGTGGGTCCTTTCTCTTAAGAGATGCACGCTGCACACAAACACACCTACACACTCAGAAACACACAGACTCACCCAGAGACAAGCAGGCTCACACACTCAGAGCGACAGTCAACTGCCCTGCTGGCCACACAAACAGAATGAACTGGCCGAAAGGAGGCTGGGTGTGGGGAAGACGGGAGAAAGGGCCTAGGCTCCTTCCATCAGAGACCCCTCTTCGCCATAAGCCAGGCTCCCCTAGTCCTAACCGGGAACCCTCTACCCGGTGGAGAGGCAGGTCCCAAGGAGGGGACCACCGAGCGCGGGTTGGGAAAGATGAATTCTACCCCGCTGAGGAGTGGCCCCGAACCCAGACGCCCCACTTGGATATGTTAAGGGCTCTCTCTCTCTCTCTCTCATACACACACCCAAGTCTCGCAGCCTCAGGCTCCCAAAGTGCGGCCGGGGACCCGATCCCGCTCCAGGCAGGCCTCCCCACCCCCTCCACGCCCCTCCCAGTCCAAGCGGCTCCGCGCCGGGTTGCCGGGGCTGCGGCGGCCGGGGGACTGAGGACTCACCACCGAATTCGGACCTCCGCACGGCTCGCCCCCGCTGGCCCGGCCCTGCAGGTCCCCGGCCCGCCCCGGGCCTTTGAGGGGGCGGGCCGACCTCCCGCCGCCGGCTCCCGGCTCGGAGCGGCGAGGCAGCGAGGCGGCGAGCAGCCACCAATGCCCGGGGAGGGGCGGGCCGGCCACCGGCGGCGGGGGAAGGGAGCCAGGAGGGAGGGACAAAGGAGAGGAGGAGGGGAAGAGGAAGTGATGGAGGAGCGGAGGGGAGCGGGATGGAGGGCGCGGGGCGGGGCGCGGCGGGGACGCGCCGACCGAGCCCGCCCGGGGTCCCGCAGCCCGGGGCAGGGGCAGAAGTGCGGCGGGGAGCGTTCGCGCGGGAGGACAGAGAGAAGGAAACGGGAGGGACAGACACAGAGGCCAGAGGGTGAGCAGCCAGGAGGCAGAAGTGAGGAGAAGCGGGTCTCACTGAGAGCCCTCTGCGGTGAGAAGTCACCAGACGCCGGGCAGGGGCCAGGCCAGCCCCCAGGTCAGCGTGGGCAGGCTGGCCTCCGTGACAGCAGAGGTTAAGCGCTGACACTCCACGGCTCCATGTATTAGAAGCCGCAAGCCAGTCAGTTCTAAAGGAAATCAACCCTGAATACCCAGTGGGAGGACTGATGCTGAAGCTCCAGTACTCTGACCACCTGATGTGAAGAGCTGACTCCCTGGAAAAGACCCCGATGCTGGGAAAGATGGAGGGCAGGAGGAGAAGGGGGCAACAGACGATGAGATGGTTGGATGGCTCACCGACTGGATGGACATGAGTTTGAGCAGACTCCGGGAGATAGTGAAGGACAGGGAATTCTGGCGTGCTGCAGACCATGGGGTACACAATATATTAGAGAGAAGAGTGAAAGTCCCAGGAATCCAGCCAGGTCACTGGGTCCAGCTCTGGCCCTCAGTCTGCCACTGTGACAAGTGGGAGTTCAGGATGAGGCAGGGCTCTGTGAACAGTCTTGAGTCTAGCTCCTGTCTCCACACTATATACCTCTTCCTCTGCCCCTCTGGCCCCCACTCCCCACACTCCCAGCAGTTCACCTTACCCCATGACCCAAACTGGACCCGGGCACTGGCTCTTCCAAGCTAGCCTATTTCCTTGGGCTCCAGGAGCCAACTCACCCCTTCCCAACCACAACCAAGTGTGCAAAGAGCTCCAGTAGAGCTGGCCCACTCCAAGGAGGTACCTTCCCATCTGGAAAGAGTGCCACCCACCTCTGGAGCCCTGGGACCATGCTGAGGTTCTGGACCAGGCAGGTACTCACCACCCAGCCTCAGTCCCAGAAAATTCCTCACATTCCAGGACCTGCACATTCCTGGCCTCTGGACACCAGAACCTTAAGGCACATGCTGTGTTCTCTCAGACGTCCTCTGTACGCTCAGAGCTCACACAGCCCCACACACTTCTCTCAAATACACACCAACACCTGCCCAGCCAGACACCACTCAACTGTGCAGGCTCTGAATCACACAGACACCCCAGTTAATGTGTCTCATACACATTTATTCTCCAGCACACAACCCCTCAGGCACCAGTCCCTCTCTTGGTTCCACACTCACTCAGGCACAGATAGCCCTTCACTCAGTCTTGGAGAGACTCTGAAATCAAAAGTCCACCTCCTGGGACTTCCCTGGTGGTCCAGTGGCTAAGACACCACATTCCCAATGCAGGGGGCCTGGGTTCAATCCCTGGTCAGGGAACTAGATTCCGCATGCAGCAACTAAGACCTGGAGTGAAAGTGAAGTGAAGTCAGTCACTCAGTCGTGTCCGACTCTTTGCGACCCCATGGACTGTAGGCTACCAGGCTTCTCCGTCCATGGGATTTTCCAGGCAAGAGTACTGGAGTGGGTTGCCATTAGTAGCCACATAAATAAATATTTTTATTTATTTATTTGACTGCACCAGGTGTTAGTAGCAGCACGCCGGATCTAGTTCCCTGACCAGGGATCAAACCCCAGACCCCTGCACAAAGTTTTAGCCACCAGACCACAAGGGAAGTCCCTATATAATTTATTTATTTGACTGCACCAGGTGTTAGTAGCAGCACGCCGGATCTAGTTCCCTGACCAGGGATCAAACCCCAGACCCCTGCACAAAGTTTTAGCCACCAGACCACAAGGGAAGTCCCTATAAAGAAATATTTTTAAAAAGCCATTTCCTTCCATAACTAAAAAAAAAGTCAACCTCCTTAGAGAAACAATCAAACAATTTTTCCACCCTCGATGAACACCTACCCACACTGCCATACTACACATACACATACACACACACACACCCATGCATGTACACGCATGCACACACTCACATGTGCACAGGCAGCTCATTCCCCTTCTGAAGGAAAAAGGAAAACCATATAGGGTCAAATGCAAAATAGGGGGAGGCTTAAAAAAACCTCCTCAGGAAATGTGATTCATCGGTCTGGAAACTGTGACAGCCAGCTGGACAGACCCAGACAGACCCAGAGGACACTGCCAGGGAGAAGCAGGGCAGCAGGCAGGCGCACACAAGTGGGGAGCTAGGAGCTTTTGCTTTTTCTCTCCTTCCTTTGAGCTTTATCAGTCGAGATCTTTATCAGTCTCATCATTGAAGACAGTCGAGGCTTCCCTCCCATTTCACAGAAGGGCTAACTGACAGGTGGGTGGAAGAGGAAGCGGTCCATCATCCTGGATCCCAGAGGGAGGCAGCTGTATTACTCAGGAATCCTGGCTCCAGCCGCATTCCAAGGAGCCTCCCGGCTGGCCCTCCCAGAAGCCCCTACCCACCAGCAAGGGGCCTGGGGAGCGAAGGAGACTCGGAGGAGGCTCAGCGGCAGGGGCTGGCAGTGAATGGCTCCGAGAGGGTAGGGGACCTTCTGTCTAGACAGCCTGGGCCCCAAGCTGCGTGGCTTTCTGGGTCCTTCCCTACTGGGTCTCCTCCCGGATCTTTCATGTGGTCTGGCACTGTGGTCTCAGGGTGGGGCAGCCTTGACCCAGATTGAGATTCCTCCTCATTTCCTTAGTCCTCTTCCCAGCTCCATCGACCTCTTGCTCTGTACAGAGAGGGCTGCCTGGGATGTCCCAAGGTACCTGGGGACAAGACTGGAAGCAGGATCTTCCTGGTTCCCTCCCATCAGGGCCCCATGGCCATAGCTTTCGCTCAAGTTGTCGTTGGCATCTGTTTTCTGCCAGCTTCCCCTCCACCCCGCCCCTGGCCCAGGCATATTCCTGCTCGAAGAGCCTGTCACTGCCACTCTCCTCGTTATGACGTGTGCCTCTCCAAGTTGCCTATGGCTGGGCACAGTGCCCAGAATGATGCAGCCAAGGACCGGCCCAGCCAGAGAGGGCTCCGTGTTATTTCTAGGGTAGTCCTCTGGTTTTTCAAAGAGGGGGTCCTCCCGCACCAAGGCTGGATCAGGGAACAAGACAGGGAAAATGGTTCTCTTGCACATATGCCCACAGATAGTCCGGTGGTCAGTGAGTGCTCCTGTCTTCACAGGAGCACACCAGTGGACGGTTTGGTACCACCAGCCCTGAGTTCACCCTGCCCCCTACTTGAACACTGTGATCCGTAAACACAGGGAAAGACACAAACACAGAGATATAAAGTCCAGAGTCACAAACACATCCGGAGACACATAAACACACTCCAGTCACACAGACACACAGAGATAGCACTTGCACCCCGAGCCACCCAGTTTCCAGGGAAACACACTCCCAAGAATGTCCGGAGTGGGGCCAGGCAGGGCTGGGCTTGGGGCCTTGCTCCAGAGATGAGACAAGGAAACCCTCAGCTCCTGGAGCCCAGGGGAGGGGCAGTGCTGGGGAGAAGAACACCCGTTCCTTTGTGCCTCTGCCTACCCCTCCCCAGGCTGCCAAGCTTCTGAGACAGGCTAGCCTAGACAAGGCGGCTGTGGGGTGGGAGGCAGGGAGAGGGAAGGGGGTTTAGGGTCAGGAGAGAGTGGGAGGGTACATACTTGGCAGGGTGGGCTTCTGGCTGGGGAAGAGTTGAGGGTCACTTGGGCCACAGGAAATGCCTGAGAATTCCATCTCAGCCCAGGCCCTCCCTCTTCCCACGGAGCTAAATGCTGCCCTGGAAAGACTGGGAGGGAGAGACCTGCAGAGCATGGGTTCCTCCATCCTCGTCCATTCGTGACAACACACAGGGGCAAAGCGTTCTTGCCCAGGAACATGAGGGATTTGGGGGTGGGCTCTTGCTCCAGCCTTCTCTGAATGCTGCCCCTGCCTCTCCTTGCTGCTCTGTTATCTCACTCTCATGTACCCAAATCTTGGGGAAGATGCTCTCTTGGAAATGGAAGAGGAGGACGGTCTGGAGCCAGACAGCAGCACAGCCAGGCCCCCAATTTATGGGGGCCCCCCCTTAGCTGGAGTCAGATAAGAGGGAGAGATAATAGGCCCTCTGGAAGAGACGCGGGCCTGTTTGCTGCTGGTGGTGGAGTCAGCTGTCCCCTCCTCACACACCCCCAAGGGCAGGCAGGCTGGGTCTTCTGGGTCAGCCTTGAAGGGAGAGACCCCAAGGGCTGTGAAGAGCAGGAGAGGAAAACAGTGGAGCGGGTGGGATTCCCACTGCCAAGGAGCTTCCAACCAGTCAGAGGTGTGCCTGTGCTTAGCGGCTCAGTCATGTCTGACTCTCTGCGACCGTATGGACTGTGGCCCACCAGGCTCCTCCATCCATGGGATTTCTCAGGCAAGAATCCTGGAGTGGGTTGCCATTTCCTCCTCCAGGGGATCTTCCTGACGCAGGGATGGAACCCACGTTTCCGGTATATCTTTCATTGGCAGGTGGACATTCTTTACCACTGAGCCATCTGGGAAGCCCAGTAACAGGTAAGAGTCCCCAGAAAACACTGCCAGGGCATTGGTCCTCCTCCTTAGAGCCAGGCTTAGTCCAAGCTCCCATCCTTTACGGCTACCCAAGCCCACTTTTCACATCCCCCTAATATGACGCTTCATTGTATACACTGATGCCCAGGGCAAACACACCTGGTCTATCAGAGTGCTACCTGGGCCAAGCCTTTCCTTACCTGCCTCATCACCATAGTAACTGGAGGCCCAGTTTTTAGAGCTCCCTTATACAACAGAGAGACCTGTTCCTTTGGGAAACAGAGTGGTAAAGACATTCGTGACTCAGACGCTGTTGTCAACAGTGTTTTAACAGGAGTGAGCGTGCCCTCGTATTTTTTTGCCCTTGTCCCATCTCCTTTGTCCTGCTCTCCCCAACCTCAACAGCTTTCTAGAACACCTGCCTCTTGGCATCATGGAACCATGCCATTGTTCCCCTCGTTGCTGCTCCAGCTCTTCTCCCCTAACAACCATTAGCGACCACTGCACAGCTCCCTGTGTCCTCCGAGAGCAGGCAGCGGAACCTCTTCTCTCTCTTCCTACCACAGTGTGAGAGGTAGGGTGGGGCGACCGGAGAAAAAAGAAACCGGTGTGGATGCTGGCGGGGGTTTTGAAATGCACCTGATCCAGATGCACCTGAGCACCCCACCCCCAACTTGGCCACTCAGGCAGTTACCATGGCAACCAAAACAGCAGACTTCCCCTGCACCTGTCACGCACAAGCTTTTAAACAGAAGCTCCCTGGCTTCAGGGCGGTCAGACCTTACCCTGAGTGAGCCGAGTGGGCTGCCGGACCGGGAGCCCATCAATAGTGCAGGCATTGCCACAGGGGTAGAGGGTGAGGGTGCCCCGCAGGTTCTCGATGTAGCAGTGCTCCGGAGCCAGGCCCGGACCCTGCAGTGAGATGTCCCTGGCCGCAGAGCCAATCACGGTCCTCCCTGAAGACAGGAGGCAAGTGTCAGAGGGCCAGTCCAGGCGGAGGAGGCAGGGAGGGGCTGGGAGGGCCACGGTGGGACTGCCATCTCCTACTCCAGGGAGAATCGCTGCCCACCCCGTGGGGCCCCTGAGCCTGGTGGAGACAGTGAGGGGTAGGAGCCCGTCTCGGCCCCAGAAACAGGAAGGCCCAGAGGGCACAGAGGATCTGCAAACTTGGTAGGAGCTTCTTCTGCAGAATTTCCTTAGTCCCCCCAAGCCCCCCTACCCAGAACTTTTCTCTCCTTCCCTAGCCTCCCCCACCTTTTCTTCCAGCTCTCCCCCCCCTCCTCTCCCTCCCTTCTGCCACCTGCAACCCTTGCCCTCCTCACACCCCCTCTCTCCCCAGCCCCTGGAGAGAGAGAGCTCCTGGACTGGTATTTGGAGAATGTGGGGAATGTAGTATCACCCAGGCAACAAGTGCAGCCAGGAGAGGAGACAGGAAGGGCAGAAGCTGCAAGGTGGAGGGGGCTGTGCCAGGGCCTGACTCGGAGGTCTGCCCCAGGCCCATCTTGCCCATCTCTCCAGCTCCACCAGCGCCTTCTCCCTCTCCAGGCATGGCCCTGGATCGGAGTTCCCTTTCTTCTTGGCCACACTGGTTGCCAAGAGCCATGAGCTCTCCTATTTCAGGGCTCTCCTCCTGATTTCTAAGCTGATCTTTAATCCTAGTCATGGAGCCAGATTAGTCTGGGGAGGCACAGACAAGGGAAGCAAACTGGGGGGTGGCGGGGGGGCGTTGTGACATGGCCTTCCATTTGGGGGAGGTGAACACTGTCAGCAGGTAGCAAAAGGGGCCCCTGCATGCATGCCTGGATTCCCAAGCAGGAATGTCTGTAAGGATGGAGGGGTGGCAGGCAGGATGCACCCCAGACTCACCTTCTTCCAGCGGTAGAAGGGTGATGGCTGTGCTGAGCCGCCCGCTGCCCAGGCTCACCAGATGGGGTTTGTCCGTCTGCACTTTCAGCCCTTTGCCTGTTTCGATCAGGTCCAAGGGTCCTTTCTGTAGGTGGTGGAGGTAGGGGATGAGCATCATGAGAGATTCCAGGCGGGCACCATACCACCCTAGTCCCAGTCACACCAGCACTCTCTCCAGCACCTACCCTCTCTAAAGGGCCCTGTAGGTGTACAAAATCTTGTGCAGAGCAGTATTCCATTAAATTGTAATTAGATCTGAATCTAGGCCACTAACTCATCCCACTGGATTTATCTCACATCTTGGTTTAACTGCCCCTTTTGTCTATTAGGACAGAAACAACGAGAAACTAAGGAGAGCTGGAAGGTGCTTGCTAAGAGTTGCGGGGGGAGTTGCTATAGAGGGGACCAATCAAGACTCATCCCTGTAGACTTGTCCATGGCAATCCACTTGGCCACGGCTTGCCCCTGTTAAACTGAATTACAAGAGAGGGCAGGGCGGAAACAGCTACAGCTCTGAAGTTGAACTGTAAACCACTTCCTGACTTTCAAAGGGTATTTTCTGGGTGAACCAATTAACCTAATTCAGCTAAAGACTTAGCTGTGAATAGGCTTGGGACCTGGGGAAGAGCATGGAGGTAGTGTGGATGTCATTCTTAAGCTGGGACCACAGGGAAGGAGAGGAGCCGACCTGTCCTCACCAGACTGCCCTCTTGCCCCATGGCCCCCACCTTGCTCACCTGCACCAGGGCCGGGGTCTTACATCCAGGGCCCACCTGGTTCCTATTGAGAGTGTCCATGTTCCTGGGGCCCCAGAGCTCCTGTGGACACAGCAGAAAACAGGTGAGGCGAGGAGGCCAGGGCAGAAAGGGGCAAGGAGTGGGTTCTGCAGCAGTGTTCTCAAGGCAGGAGCAATGGCACGGTGGCTCCCAGCAAGCTCCTGCTGAAGGAGACCTGGAGGCAGTTCAGGAGCTTGGGGCGGGGTGGGGGCCATGCGGAGGGAAGGGGGCGGCGCCACGTCTTCACCCACAACACAGGTCAGCGTGGATGCTACCCCACCACACCGGCCCTGACCCCCCCGCAAGCACACACACAGAGCGCCCCCCCCCAAAAGTCCTATAGGGCCCAAACCATATGGTCTACCTCTTGCCTCTGACAGCCAGGACCCAGGCCTTGGCAGTTGAGGACCCTCGGGCATCAGAAGCCATAAGAAGGTGGGGAAAATCTACCTTAGAGAGGAAAGCTAGCTCAAGGCAGCCCCTCCAGGGACACTGGTAGACAGGGGGCCCCAGGCAGGTGGCAGGGCTGAGTGGGCGCTCCCTTCCACAGCCTCTCCCCGTCTCTTTCCCCAGGAGTCTCAGAAGGATGTTTTCTTCAAGGAAACGTGAGGGGGAAATGCCACGATTACTGCCATCTCTGTCTCAATTCCTGCATCCTCTCCTCCCCAGAAAGCATCTTACCCACCCCGACCCCCACAATCAGCAAAAATAAAAAATAAACCCCCCAGTGGTGACTAACACTGAGAATATAGGACTCTTGGGTTCTCAACCTGATTTGGTACCGTAGGGAGCTGAAGTCCTTAGAACCAGAGGTAGAACAGATTCCAGAGCTCCAGAGCCTTCCACTCCAGAGCACTGGCACCTGAGAACTGTGAGGAAGGAGCTTTACGTACTAATCTGTGCCTACGTGCCCATCCCTTGGCCAACTTGCCGAGGTGAGAAACTTCCTATTGACTGCTGCAATGTTACTGGGGAAGCTGAAGAGAGTGTGACCACAGGGAGGGAGGGAGGGAGACCCAGGAAGGCAGGGTTCCCTTCCACTTTCTCTTCCAGCCATCTTCTAAGAGACTTGAAGAGGAAGTGGGGCAGGAGCCAGCGTTCCAAGGAGTGTCTGACCCTGGCAGTGGGGCCCAAAGGTCTTAGCAATAGTGTTACTAATTTTACCCTCCCAGCTTCCACCCTTCCGGACCTGGCATGCATCGTCTCCGTCACCATTTCCACCCAAGCTGGAGGAAGAGAAGCTGGAACGGGGCCTAAGGCCCACCCCAAGTCTGCCTGGGAAGAAGGAAGGCAAAGGCCGTTAACCTACAGCAAGGCGCGAGCCAGCCTGGCACCTCCCCAGGAGATCTGGCCGGGGGGAAGAATTTCCAGGGACAAAGATGGTGCTACTGCTTCTTTCAACTGAGGGAAGTCCTTTAGGTTTCTGAGGGAGGAGAGGCAAGACAGTGAGCTGGGGATATAAGCGTATATAAAAGAGGGGGTGAGAAAAACAAAACAATGAACAACGGTGAAGGAAAGGCATCACTGGGTAGCGGAAAGAGCTTTAGACTGGGATGCAAGAGCCTTAAATTCTAATCTTGACTTTCTTATTTATTAACCGAGAGAAACTTAGACATGTTATTTAACTTCTCTGAGTGTCAATCATTCTCTATAAAACTGGAATAATGATTTATATTAAAAATAATTTAAATAAATAAAATAAAAAATAATATTGTCTGGATTACTGCTTGCCTGGGGCTAGGGGTGGAATGGGTGAACCAATTAGACCTGTCAGAGGGACCATCTAATGGGCTATAAAAATGGGCAGATTTGGGGGGCATGATAGAAATGTTCTAAAACTTATTTGTGATGATGGTTTGCCCAGATCTGTAAATACACTAAAAATAACTGAATGTACACTTAAGTGAATTTATGGTATGAACATCATTCCTCAATAAAACTATTAGTTTGGTTTTTTTTTTTTAAGATGATTGTCTTAGAAATTCAGAAAGTGAAAGTTGCTCAGTGCTGTCCAACTCTTTGCAACCCCATGGACTATACAATCCATGGAATTCTCCAGGCAAGAATACTGGAGTGGGTGAAGTGAAGTGAAATGAAGTCACTCAGTCGTGTCCCACGACTCTTTGTGACCCCATAGACTGTAGCCTACCAGGCTTCTCCATCCATGGGATTTTCCAAGCAAGAGTACTGGAGTGGGTTGCCATTTCCTTCTCCAGGGGATCTTCCCAACCCAGGGATGGAACCCAGGTCTCCCACATTACATGCAGATTCCTTACCAGCTGAGCCACAAGGAAAGCTCTAGAGATTCAGATATTATATCAAATGACACTCTGTGAAGTGCAGAGCACTGTAAATATGCCAGTTACTAGTATGAGCTTCCTGAACTTAAAGTCACTTCACTTTTCTGGGCTTCAGTTTCTTCATCTCTCAAGTTTGTCACCATCACTCCGTGAGGGAGCAATGAGTGTGTTCACTTATTTACACCGGATTTCAAGTGGCGATAAATCCTGTAAAAGAACAAGGTTGATGGGGGAAAAGAGTGATTGGAGGAGAGGAGAGAAGGAATAAGGAGGTGAAAGAACAGGAAGAGATAAGGAGAGAGGTGTAGGGAGAGACGGAGAAGACAGGAAAAGATGTAGAGTCCGGGAGGCTCGAGGCCGTGGCTCCAGGTCCGAAACTCAATCCAGGTGGAGTGGAGATACACCAGACCGACGCGTCCCGGCCCGCGGGCGGTGCTGACCCACGGGCTGCACTGCTGCCCGGAGAGCCGCCACCGGGGGGCGCTCTCTCTTCCAGCCGCTCCCCTGGCGGGGAGAGCCAAGCGAGCTCCGCCGGGGCGCCCCCCAGCGGCCCCAGCGGCCGACCTGCTTCGTCCCACCAGGCTGCCCACTGCCCGGGGCTGTAATTATACCCACCCGATTCACCCCTCTGGCCTCCGCCGCGGTCCTGGGAAATCCGGCCCGCCCGCTGCCAAAAAAAGGGCGCTGCGGTGCGTGTCCGGCTCTCTGGGAGGAGGGGCTAGGGAAGCGCCGCGGTCAGCCCCGGCTCTTGGTAGCGGTCTCCCACTGCGAGCTGAGACGCCCAAGCGCCTCCTCGGGCGCAAGGTGGCAGAGACCTGGATGTCTAGGGAGCCCCGCGTGGGTGAGGCCAGGGCTCTGGCAGGTGACCCCGCGCCGGGCCCCGCGGCCTCCCGGCCCGGCGCGAAAGCCCGGGCATCCAGGCCACCGGGGATCCCTTGCCCTACCCGGACCCCAGCTCTCTGCCCGCGTGGGGGAGTCACCGCTTCGGGGGACTCGGTCGGTCCCTTAACGACGGGCGCGGGAGGCCCTGGAGAGCGACTGGGAAGTTCCAGAACCAACAGGGATTGGAGGAAGTCCAGCCTCCAAATCGGGCCCCAGAAGAAAGGCCGGAGGCCGGCCCAGGAGCGAGAGCGGTCCCCTGTGGCCCGGGCGTCGCACGGCCCGGGAGCGAGGCCGAGTTGGGATCCTTTCGGCGCGCGTCTGCCCTCGAGGAAGGGCCGCTGGCAGAGGAAGGGGCCGGAAGGGAAGGAAACTGAGGCCGGGAGCCCAGTGGGCGGGGCGCCGGAGCCGGGCAGGGGCCGGGGAGGACGTAGGGGAAAGGACGCAGAGAACTTGACTGTTAGTCGCTCAGTCGTGTCCGACTCTGCGATCCCATGGACTGCAGCCCGTCAGGCTCCTCTGTCTACTTTCCAGGCAAGAATACTGGAGTGGTTTCCATTTCCTCCTCTAGGGGATCTTCCCGACCCGGGATCGAACCCACGTCTCTTATATCTCTAGCATTGGCAGGCAGGTTCTTTACCACTAGCTCCATCTGGGAAGCCCTCAGAGAACTTGAGAAGATGGGAAATCGGGGGTCTGCGGAGGGGTGGGACGGAAGGGAAGATTAAGGGTTTGGAGAGAAAAACAAAAGAGGGAGACTGAAGAGTGAGGGGAAAGGAGGGCTGGGGAGAGAAGACAGGCAGAGGATGGGGAGGAGGCGAAGAAGGTGGGAAACAGGATGGAGTCCGGAGGACGCAGGGGAGGCGGAGGCGGGGGGTGGGGTGGGGAGACAGGGACCAGAAGGAGAAGGACTGGGGGACGAAGGAGATGGGGGAGACTGGGGACAGACGAGTGCTCAAGGTAAGGGGGGTGACGGTACGGGGGAGCAGTCGAAGGTACCCAGGGTCGTGGAGGAGGAGACCGGCGTGGGGACGGGAGGTGAGGCTCTGGAGTGAAAGAGGGGTCCGGAGGGCTGGCCTGGGGACCCAGCTGTAGACAGAGACTGTAGGCGGGCAGCCGGGGCTGGAGCAGGCGGTGGGACGAGGCGCGAGTGTAGTTTGGGGCTGTGATTTTATTTGTGTGAGGAGTGGAGGTGGGGTGCCTCCGCACGGAGGGCTCCCTGCTGCCCCTCGCCGCCCTCCCCAGGGCCGCCAGGTGGGACAAGGCCGCAGTGTTGGGCGGCCCCGCCCGCGGCTGACGCCGGACAAGCGGCCTTTCTTTGGCCGGGCCGGGAGAAGGGGCCGCTTGTTTGCGCGGTCCGGGAAAGGCGCGGCCCCCAGACACCGCCGGCTCCCCGCGGGCGGCTGCGGGAGGGGGCCGCGCGCGTGGCATTCGTGTGTGCGGACTGAGTGTGTGATGGGCGGGAGCGGCAGGTGGGTGTGTGAATCGCGGGATGCGTGTGCGCGGGGGCTGCAGGTGTGGATGTGGGCTTCCTGCGAGGGCTGCGGGTGCTTGGCGTGTGCGCGGAGTGGGTAGAGGTGTAGGCGTTTTTGGGTCCCACACGTGTCACGGCAGAGAGACGGGCGTGTCCGCGTGGCTTGCTTGGTGGGAAGGGTGCGTGGGTGATGCCGGCTGGGGCGCCGAGTGTGTCTGCGCGTGGGATGCCTGACCGGGGGGGGGAGGGGGTTGTGTTTGTGTGTAACCGGCCGGATGAGTCAGTCCCCGGAGCCTCCGGGACGGCTGAGCTAACGGGCCCAGAATGCAGCTCCGCCCCGGCGCCCAGGGTCCCCCGCCGGGCCGCTGCGTCTCCCGGCCCAGCCTCCGCTCGCGCGCGCCTCGGCGGAAGCGTCCGTGGAAGCCTCGGCAACTCCGAGGCCCCTCCCAGTCCCCCACCGCCCCCGCCCGCGCGCTTCCCCTTCCCCGAGGAGCCCGGATGACCTGGCTCAGCCCCGGCACGGGGGAACTCCGCAAGGGAGTCGAATCTGGACTGTGCGGGCGTGGCATGGGCCGGAGACTCACGGCCCCCACGGCCCCCCTTCCAGCCTCCCGGACCCCTAATGACGCGGGGCCCAGGCAGGGCCCAGGAGGCCCCAGATGTGCCACCCATCCCCTGAACACACCCAGCGGTCCCTTCCGGACAGCACTGCCTCCGAGCCCGACTCCGCATCCCTTTCCTGTCCCATCAAGGCGGCCCAGCCCGGGACGGCAGCTGAGATGCCCCCAGGGGACCCCGCTGTCCTGGCGCAGGGCTCTCAGTCCTTCTGTCGGCGGGAGAGGGGAGGTGAGGGGAGCAGGCGGACGAGACCCCGCGAGTGTCGCCCAGTCGCCCTCAGGAAAGTCCTGGGACAAGGATCCGCGTTCCCCCTGGGGCGGCGGGCGGCGGGCGGCCGTGGTGGGGCGGAGCGCAAGGGCCCCCTCTGGCGGCGGCGCCGGCAGCGGCTCGGGAGGGCAGAAGCACGCCGCTCCCGGGAGAGCAGCGGAGCCCGCTCGGCACAAAGCCCCCCGCGTCCCCACGCACTCACCTGCGGCGCCCCTCTTCGCCTACCGGCTTCTCCGGGATCTTCCAGCCCAGAGCTGGTCTGAGGGCTCTTGCCAGGTCCCCGGGACTTCCTCTTATCCCGTCCCAGCCGCGCAGCGAGCGGGACCCGCAGGCGTAGCGGGAGGGAGCGCCCTCACCTCGAGGGGAGAGGGACACACCGGGTCTTTCGCCCAGCTCGGCAGCCGCGGCCCCAGGCTCCGAAGGACACTCTTGCTTTTCCCTGGAAGCCCGCTGAGTAGGAGGAGAGCAAGTGGGTCCCGCCTTCCTCCCCCCCCCCACCGTCCCCCCGTCCCGTCCGCCTGGCCAGCCAGAGGAGACGCCCTTGTGGGACTGGAGCCCAAGGTCCCCCCACCCAGCCTTTCCCAGAGCGGCACCTCCCCCCACGCCCGCACAGCGCGCGCTTTGTTCATCTTCGCAGCTGGGCTTTCCACTACCACCGTGTGCACACCCTGTCCCCGCTCGCCCTCCCCTTCGGACTCTCCTGGACCACCCTCCACCCCTAGGCCTTAAGGCTCTTCTGAGGGTGTTTTCCCGTTTCTCTCTAGTCCGCCCCTCCTCTTTTTTTCAGTTTAGATGCCTGAATCCTCCATCAGATCCCAGTGAACTTCATGGTCGCAGCCGTGCATGTTCTTAATATCTCGGAATATCTGCTGAAGGTATCCAGGTCTATCTACCCTCTGTCGCCCCTTCTCCTCATCCTACTCCAAGCCCCTCCGCCAGGACGAGCTGTAAATGGGGTTAATAACTGTCCAGATAGGGCGTCACAGATATTTCTGAAGATAGG